AATAGTCTGTACAGAGGAGGATTGTGATCCATGTGATCTTGCATTGGGTCTAACCGCTACTGAAATGTTGAAGCATGGATTAGTGTAAGTAATTTTTTTGAGATATACATCTGTAATGAGATATGAAATGAATACTGCTGTAATTTATTGCACACATTTGTAAGTTATGGAAGTGCTAGATTTTGGAGGACAGAGGAAATAAAGATAATAAGTTGAGGGTTTTTTTTTCTATTCAAGCTCATAAGATAAAGGTTAATTCTAGTCAAGTCTAGTCAAGTACAACTCCGTGGGATGGTGCTCATCTCCATTTCTAAGGCAAAGAGTTGGCGTCATCCATAGACACCTCATAGGTTACGTGGCCAGCATGACTGCATGGAGTCATAGACCACCTGAAATCTTTCCACAGACCCTCTAGGTGTTCATTTCCATTTCTAAGCCAAAGAACCATCATTGTCTGTAGATGCCTTCTAGGCCATGTGGCCTGCATAAATGCATGCGTTACCTTCCACCAAAGTGGTACCTATTGATCTACCCACATTTGCATGTTTTCAAACTTCTAGGCTGGCAGAAGCTGGGGCTAACAATGGGAGCTCACCCTGTTCGCAGATTTGAACCTGCAACCTTCTGGTAAGCAAGGTTAACTCGCTGTGCCACCGCAGTATGTTTTTTAAACCAGGGCTGTGGAAGCAGCTCTTTATTAGGCTTGGGCGATCCAGTTTGTTAATTTCGTAATTCGTTATTAATTCGTATTTAAATTAGCTTACGATCCAATATTGAGCCATGCAGGAATAGTGTGAGGAGTAATTAAGAATCGAAACAATTTTTCCAATTTTCGTAATTATTTTCGTAATTATATTTTATAATATACAATTATAATATAATATATAATATAATAATAATATAATATACATTATATATTATATTACATTATATTATTATAATACTATTATATTATATTATAGTATTGTATATTATATTATTATATTCTATATTATATTACTATATTATTATTATATTATAATTGTATATTATAATATAATATATTATAATATAATAGAATATATTATATATATATAATATAATATAATATACAATAATATAATATAATCATATTATAATAATATAATATAATCATATTATAATATAATATACAATATAATATAATCATATTATAATAATATAATATAATATAATATAATATAATATAATATAATATAATATAATATAATATAATATAATATAATATAATATAATATAATATAGTTGTTGTTTGTTTTATCACACCAACAGTCAACAACAGAGGGAGAGGGAGGCTTCAGAAGTTCCCCCTGTCCCGTTTGGAGGTTTTTTTTTTAGCATATTGTGCAATCGCATCCGCCATTAATGAATCGATTCGTAATTTTACGAAATTTCGTATATTTTGAAATTTTTTAAAGTAAAATTTTGGAATTCTTTAAAAAAACGAAATGCAAGGGCCCCCTAAATACAAAACGAGTTTAGAACCAAATTTTTACGTGGTTACCGAAGCCTACTCTTTATACGTTTTGGTGGACAATGGTCATCGGTCCTAGCCAGCATAACTGTTGGGAAAGGATCATAGGAGTTTCAATCCAAAAATGTCTGGATGATACTACACTAAGTGCTCATATGCTATCCCAGAACATGTTATGACAATCTTGTAACATGGACTAGTTTTATTACCCCTCTATTGCCCAAAGGAAGTTGAGACCGACTTGTCTAGGATCACTGAATATAGAGTTTCTTTCTTTGCTCAACATCCCAGTGTTGTTGTACTGTGCCTTTAAGCTGTTTCAGACTTACGGCAATCCCAAGGCAATCTCATCATGGGGTTTGCTTGCCAAGAATTGTGCATAGGAAGTTTGCTTTTGAGGCCGAGAGATTATGACTTGCCCAAGGCCCCTCAGGGGGTTTCCATGGCCAAGCGGGAATTTCAACTTTGGTCCCCAAAGTCTTAGTCCAACCCTAAACCACTACAATAAAATGGTTTTATTCAACCTTCCAATATTATTCTCCAATGTTTATTATTAGAAAAGAAACTGGCAAGACTTCAAATAAATAGGAAAGTCAATTTTGGTCAAATGACAATTCCTCCTCAACCTTAGTCTACATGGGCTAGCTGATACATTCATGGCTCAAACACTACAATGAATTGAGTTGACTCAGGCAGGATTCCAGCATGGTGATGTGTATGTTGTGTGTGTGTGTGTTGCATTGTGGTTTCTCTCTATGTGCTAAAGTAGACATTGAAACGCGAAACTCCCTCATACCAAGACATTCACTCACCTCTTGCTTTTCCCAGGTCTGAATTGGTGCTGGCTACAAATCAGCCTGGAATGTTACAATTGAAAGCCGAATTCCTAACTGACGTTGGAAGATAAACAGAACAGAACAGTTCCACAAGGAGATGGCACCATTCGTTCCGCTCCACCTACCCCTCTCTAGGGAAATGTTGGAAGTATCTCCCCCTTCCCTACACCCCACCAATGATTATAAGCACTGAAATGTTTTCCAAAGGCTAAAAAAAAAAAAAAATCTTCAAATTCAGTTTTTTCTCCTTTCATGACAGGGCTAATGAGGATAGGATGAGCTGGAGGTCTCCATTCAGTGTCAATTTGAAGACATTTGACAAGCAGGCGTACATCATTGAGGTTGAATCAGAATTTTGCATAATTGGAACTGCATGAAATAAATTATATGAAGCCTTCTCCTCAAAGAAAAGTTAACAGTAATCTTCCTACTTTGCATCACATTTTTAATACAAGAAATTAGAATTATAGGATAGGAAGGCCCCCTGTAGATGCCATCTAGCTACCGGGCAGCAGTAAAGGAGAGTTGACACTGCCTGAGTTCTTTCTTCCCCAGACAAATACATGCAGTTCTCATTCACAGTTGCTGTGGTACAGGACCCCTGCAAATAATAATAATAATAATAATAATAATAATAATAATAATAATAATAATAATAATTATTATTATTATTATTATTATTCTGGCACAAGTCAGAATAATAGGTGCTCAGCTCCCAGGGGCGATTGGCACACTGGGTGCAGTGCCTAAAGACCTTGGCTAGCACTTAAAAATAATTGGTGCTGACAAAATTACCATCTGTCATCTGCAAAAGGCCACCTTACATGGATCTGCATGCATGATTTGCTGATACATCACATAGTCCTAGACATTTGGGAAGTGTCTGACGTGTGACTGAATACAAAAGCCAGCAGAGTGATCTTGTTTGCTATGTACTAATCTTGTTGTGTATCAAATAATAATAATAATAATAATAATAATAATAATAATACCGACATGTGATCAACTACAACAGACAGCAGAGTGATCTTGTTTGCTGTGGACTTATCTTGTTGTGTTTCAAAAAAATAATACCCCATGATTTTTTAATCTGAGAGAACACTTCTCTAGGAATCTCTAAATTCTCCAGCATGTCTTAATAGACAACTTATCTTGGATGTTGACCACAGAGTTGCCCTGTGAGAAGTTGAACTTTAGTTAAACTGGAAAAGGTTTTCAAATCCCATTACAGGTAAGTCATTTTTCATGAACCTGATTGTATCCAAAAAAATAGTTTCAATGTGTTTATTGCAATTTTGAAATGAAATATCAAAACTATTAGAAAATTTATTAGAAAATATTAGTTTTAGAATTTAAATTGTTTACATTGTTTTAAAAGGCAGCAAAGGTCAGAAAATAATGTAAAAAATGAAAAACTTTTCAAAATAGACAAATTTAGTTGAAAAAAGTAGTCCATTTACACTTAACCAGGAAATGGCTTATCAGCCTAAAAAGTTCCCAATATTTATGGAAGGACTTTATAGAAACTGTAAAAAATGATCAGATGTAACAAACAAACAAATCTCAACTGTGTATTTACTTGGTGAAAAATCAAAAGCGGAATAAACACCTATAATTAACAAATATACACACATTGACAATGCAAATGGTAATACATAGTCTATATAATCTGTTTAATATCTGTTGTCTTAGCATTCTTACAGAGTAATGGTAGACTTTTCAAATACTAAACTAAAATAAGAAATGGTGGACTTTTTAAAAGCCAGAATAATATAGGGCCTGCAACAAATTTATGGATGAGAGAGCTGGACCATAAGGAAGGCTGAGCGAAGGAAGACCTTTTGAGCTGTGATGTTGGAGGAAAATCTTGAGAGTGCCTTGGACCGCAAGAAGATCAAACCAGTCCATACTCCAGAAAATAAAGCCTGACTGCTCATTGGAGGGAAGGCTATTAAAGGCAAAGATGAAGTACTTTGGCCACATTATGAGAAGACAGGAAAGCTTGGAGAAGACAATGAGGCTGGGGAAAATGGAAGGAAAGGGGAAGAGGGGCCGACCAAGGACAAGATGGATGGATGGTATCCTTGAAGTGACTGGATTGACTTTGAAGGAGCTGGAGGTAGCCATGGCCAACAACAGGATGGAAGTACGCTTCAGGTTCACCTTTGTTTACACCAAAACAGGAAAGGTGTGACTCTAGATGCCCACAAAACTCACTGCTGTTTTCATGAAAATTTCTCTCTCTCTCTTTCTCCAGGTTTCCAGCATTGCAGTAACTTTAACAACTTCAGTTAAGTATTTAGAAATATACTGTAGCCACATCCAAAAAAGAGACAGGCATTGTTACCAAGGGAATGCAAATATAAGAGTTCTCAATGTGAATGATTTTCAATGTCTTACAACAATGAGAAGGCCATATTAGCAAGAGCATGGGTTGGAGCAAATACCAGCTGCTTGCGAGTGGAACAGAAGGCCTTGGCAGAAAGAAATCCCTTACGCTCTTGTAATTTCTCCCTCTCCAAACTTCACTTAAATCTACTCTAAAAGGGTTGAGGGTTCCTCTGGGATAGATCTATTGGCATACAGGGGAAAGTCAATTCATACAAAAATGGCTATAACTCAACTTTAAAAAGTACAGCAGACTTTTCTGGGGTCCTTTCACACTATAGCTTAGAAAGTGGCTTTTTATATTTTATTTATTTATTTAAAATTTTTATATCCCGATCTTCTCTAACCTCCGTAGAGGGACTCAGACCGGCTCACAGCAAGGATTCAATGCTAATAATACAGTCTAAAAACATCATACAATAACAAGTTAAAATACATATAGATTAAAATTACAAATAAGCCAAATCGCCAAGATACAATCATGTCCAACTCAGTCTGTATGTGCGGTCGATAACTTTGTTCTGTAGCCGGTGTCAACCATTACTCTGGGAATGCTTCCTTCCATAGTCAGGATTTCACCAGCCTCCTGAAGGACAGGAAGGAGGGGGCAGATCTCAATTGGGAGAGAGTTCCATAGCCAAGGGGCCACCACGGAAAAGGCCCTGTCTCTCATTCCCGCCAGACGCGATCGCGGAAGTGGTGGGACCGAGAGCAGGGCCCCACCAGAAGATCTTAATAGTCTTGATGGTTCATAGGGGAGAATATGTTCATTTTCAAATCCTCAAACAACTCTTCTGGTGCCTCTGCCCAAACTAGAATCCCTCCAGGATGCCATAGGATGCAGCCAGGGCAATTGCAAAAGAATCATGGATCATGGTGCTATAATTCAGTTGTGTGGATATGCCCCTGTATATGGTATTAGGTGATGCATGATACTGAGTGGAGTATACAGATGTAATCTACACCAAGGCTTGCTTATAGAAAGAAAGAAGGACTCAGTAGCTCATGGAGATGCTCTCAGAGTTTGCTGTATTAGCTAGTGTATCTTGTTAATAAAAATTAGGAAGAAAAAGTAGTATGCATCACAGGCACACCACAGATAGTTTGTCCTAGTGAAATAGGCGGTATATACCTTGATTTGGCAATAATCCCTGAGATAATAAAAATAATGATGACAGCGGTAATGAAAAAAGTTAGTCAGTAGCATCAAAGCAGCCAAATACCTCTTGGTTCAAAACAGAGGCATATCAAGGAGAACAAATATACAATGGGTCCCTGGTATCTTCCGGTATCCAGGTCCCCCCGTGGATACCAAAATATGAGGATTCTTAAATTCCATTATATACAATGATGTAGTAGAATGGCATCCCTTATATAAAATGGCGAACAACCCAAATGCATGCCAAGCAGAGACTGTGGATCTGTGAAATGGCAGAAGGCTTGGCAGGAGGAAAAATCAAGGTTTGCTTTTTGGATTCCCCCTCTCCCCAGATTTTGAGCCATGGTTGGTTGAACCTGTGGATGCAGAACCCCCAAATTCAACCCAGGTCCGGCTGTATTGTTCTGTAAGCCTCATCAGCTCAGGCAATCCAACAGAAAGAAAATGGTTGACTTCCCTTTACTCTCTTCCTCCAGTTAATTTATGGAACAAGTCTTCATCCAATGTTTCATTCTGGTCTTTGGAGCGAGTTGACAGGAAAATGTAACCTCCAATGTATTCATGGATCACCTTGCAGTCTGCACTCAAGCAAGAAAATGCAATGGATACGTTCTGATCAAACTCAATTGCAACCTGAAGAAATGGAGATAGGAATAATAATAAAAATTAAGCAGCCTTTTGCTTAGCTCCTCTATCACTCTAGTTGCAGTCTCCCCAAAATTGCCTTGTAAAAAAAGTTTATGATTAAAGCATCTTACTGAGCTTGACAACTTTTTCTGAGATGTGGTGTAAAAACATTATAGGGATAAATACAAGCAAACACTGGGGGCTTATTCATATAGGATTCCTCTCTTTGCAATGTCTAATTTGTCCCTTTCTGGAGACTTAAATCCTTTTTTAAATTCAAAAGTGCCAGATCTTAAATGAAGATAAATTTTTGCTATATGTACTTATTCAAGGAAGGAAGAAAAAAATTTTAAAACCACAAGCAGAACCATGTAGGACTGTTTCACACGATATTGAGATCATTAATCTATAATGCAGAGCCATCTGGTGGTTTCTATGTCTGCACGGTAATGAAATCACTTGGGGTTTCACTTTAAATTTTAATGGAACTATGAGAAGAATCTCATCCCCAGTCTGCAAAATGCTTTCAGCACCTTGGATAGCACTTTTAAAGTTAAGATTGAAATCTGGAGTTTATTTTTGATGCACAAACACATATGTGTTGACAACTGCTACTATGCTATACCATGGTTGGAAAACAGGAATATTGTTGTTGGAAGTTGATCATACAGTAATTAGGCTTTTCCATGCCATTAGCTTACTGTCAAGATTCCACTCTTCCAACAAGGGATGTAAACAAAAAAAGCATATGGTCAAATATGTGTTCACAAGTCACTTCCTATCCATATTAGCAATACAGATGGAATGGCTATGTTTGTTACTGTGCTGGATGACAAATAGGAAGTTCCAGAGATTACCGACATCTGGGCCAACTCAATATGCTCCTTCATTGTAGTTATCTTGCTGCTTTCACAGAAAAACCTAGCATCATCCATTTTATACAGTAGTACAGCAGGCTTGTGTTTCACAATTAGTACAATACTAAATCTGTATCCATGGGGGATATGTCTGAAGACACTCCATCCCTGTGGATACCTGAAATTGTAGACAAAGGTGATCCCTTTGTTTTAACTATACTTGTGTAGAAGCTTCCTACAGAATTGTACCGGGTGGCTAGAGACCCACAAACTTACACTCTAAACTTTTGCTTGCATTCCATATATATATAGACAAAGAGAGAGAGAGAAGAAGAAGAGGAGGAGGAGGAGGAGGAGGAGGAGGAGGAGGAGGAGGAGGAGGAGGAGGAGGAGGAGGAAGGAGAAGGAGGAGGGGTAAAGGTTTCCCCTTGACATTAAGTCTAGTCGAGTCCGAATCTGGGGAGCGGTGCTCATCTCCATTTCTAAGCTAAAGAGCCAGTGTTGTCTGTAGACACCTCCAAGGTTATGTGGCCAGCATAACTGCATGGAGCACCGTTATCTTCCTGCAGAAGCGGTACCTACTGATCTATTCACATGTGTATGCTTTCGAACTGTTAGGTTGGCAGAAGCTGGAGCTAACAATGGGAGCTCACTCCATCCCTCAGTTTCAAACTGCCGATCTTCCAGTCAACAAGTTCTGCAGCATAGTAGTTTAACCTGCTGTGCCATTGCAGCCCACATACACAACATATATATATGGTGTAAGCAAAACTGTGGATATTGAATCCATGGATAAGGGGTGGTTATATTGTATCCTTATCTAACAGAGGTCAGTCAAATGTTTATAAAGCATTATGTTACAAAGAGCATTTCCATCAGATCAGATTAGCAGTCCACCTTGTCTAGCAACTTCACCTTGACAACTTCAGTATTTGTCAAAAACCACAACCTTTCCTAATTTTTTTGCCTCCCAGCAGCTGATATTTGGGGCTATTCTGCTCCTCAACACTTAGCCACTGTGATGAAAAAACTCTGATAGACCTGTACTCTAAACATGTACTTAAATCTGGTTCAAAGCCAATCACCTTGTCACTATGACTGCAACTGGAGGTCGAAATTCTATCAACGAATCCTGTGAATTCTATACAATATTTATGCTTCTTTGCCTTGCACTTATAAATGAATATCCATGCTGATCTTTTCCAAGTCCGAAATGAATTAAAACCCAGGTCTGAAGTTGTACAAAAGGATTAGCAGAAGTGAAATTCCTTACTTCTTTGTCCCCATGGCAGCTTCTCAAGCATGCTAAAGAGAAATCTGGGGCCCCTGAAGAATGGATGGGTGGTGTTTCAGAGGGCTGTAGGAAAAGGAGAAATCTCTCCCCCCCCCCCCACGCCGCAAAAAACCCAGATGAAAACACCTTCTTTCAGCAGGTCCCCTAATTTCACTTGTGTAGCATTTTGGTGTTCTGAAGATATGACTGAAGGGATGAGGGCACTGGGAAGTCTGCTTCTGCCAACATCATCTCAGGAGCTTAGATCTGGAGCTAATACCTTATTTCTGCTTTCAAGTAGCCGATGAGGAGGCAAATTCCTTTAATCATATTTACATCATAGTGGAGACCATAGTACCCAAATCCTAAATACAGATCATTTTGGATTAGGTAGATGTGAGAAATCCATGTTGTAAAAGTATAATGAATTGCAGCTCAATAATGCTGACAATCTGCTGGTGTCACTCCTGTAAGGATTTTTGCCTCTCCGATTTAGTGTTTTGCAAACCCACATATGATCATACAAACTAAAACTGCAGGTAGTTTTACTTAACTCCTTGAAAAGCTTACCTGACGTATCTCCCAGTTCACATTCCACTGTTTCATATTTGAGAATCTCCATGTTGTAATTGGGTCTCCTGTCGCCATGTCTATCCTTATTAGTCGGTTGTGAGAAATTCCCAGAAGATCATCTTTCTTGCTCCCTTTAAATCTAGGGGTGGAGAGGGGAGAATCACCACCAGCCCATATATTTCGTCCCGTGCTTTTCTAGAAGTACTTGTAACACAGATGAAAACCAGGATACACATATCTATGTAGCATTAGTGTAGCCAAGATTTATTTATTTATTTCCGTCACTTTTACCCCGCCCTTCTCACCCCCGAGGGGGGACTCAGGGCGGCTTACAGAGGAAGGCACAATTCGATGCCTTTGTCACATATACATACATATATAAGCAAATTAAACAATTACACATTAGAGATTAAAAACATCACTACACAACAATACAGTAACACAGTAATAGACTAATCCTGAGCTCAGCGTTCGGAGTTTCGTAAATCCGTTCCGTCTCGTCAAATTCCAGCTTGTCATCAGGTCTTTCTTTAGCTGCCATGATGTCCAAATGCCTGGTCCCATATCCAGGTTTTCAACTTTTTCCTAAATGAAAGAAGGGACGTTGCCGATCTAATCTCCCCGGGGAGTGAGTTCCACAGGTGGGGAGCCACCACCGAGAAGGCCCTGCTCCTCGTCCCCGCCAATCTCACTTGTGATAGAGGCGGGGTCGAGAGCAGGGCCTCCCCAGAAGATCTTACTCCGAGGTGGGACGTAGAGGGAGATCCGTTCGGACAGATACACTGGGCCGGAACCGTATAGGGTTTTGTAGGTCAAAACCAGCACTTTGAATTGTGCTCGGAATTGGATCGGCAGCCAGTGGAGCTGACACAACAGGGGGGTGGTGTGCTCCCTGTATGTCGCTCCGGTGAGCAATCTGGCTGCCTCCCGCTGGACCAGTTGGAGTTTCCGAGCAGTCTTCAAAGGCAACCCCACGTAGAGTGCATTGCAGTAATCCAATCGGGATGTAACAAGAGCGTGGACCACCGTGGCCAATCCGACTTCCCAAGGTACGGGCGCAGCTGGCGCACAAGTTTTAATTGTGCAAAAGCTCTCCCGGCCACCGCCGAGACCTGGGGTTCCAGGCTCAGCGATGAGTCCAGGATCACTCCCAAGCTGCGAACCTGCGTCTTCAGGGGGAGTGTAACCCCATCTAACACAGGCTGTAACCCTATGCCCTGTTCGGCCTTACGACTGACCAGTAGGACCTCTGTCTTGTCTGGATTCAATTTCAATTTGTTAGCTCTCATCCAGTCCGACACAGCGGCCAAGCACCGGTTCAAGGTCTGGACAGCCTCCTTGGTGACAGGTGGAAAGGAGTGACAGATTTGGACATCATCTGCGTAGAGATAACATCTCATTCCGAAACTCCGAATGATCTCCCCCAGCGGCTTCATGTAGATGTTAAATAACATGGGGACAGAATTGAACCCTGTGGGACTCCACACAACAACGGGTGCGGGGCCGAACAGGTGTCACCCAATAACACCTTCTGGGTCCGTCCCTCAAGGAAGGATCGGAGCCACCGCAGCGCAGTGCCTCCGAGCCCCATATCCATGAGGCGCCCCAGAAGGATACCATGATCGACGGTATCGAAGGCCGCTGAGAGGTCCAGCAGAACTAACAGGGACACACTCCCCCTGTCCAGCTCCCTGCGCAGATCATCTACCAAGGCGACCAAGGCTGTCTCAGTTCCATGTCCCGGCCTAAAGCCGGACTGTGCCGGATCTAGATAATCAGTGTCTACCAGAAATCCTTGGAGTTGTGCTGCCACCACACGTTCCATGACTTTGCCCAAATAGGGGAGATTGGAAACTGGCTGATAGTTGTCGAATTGAGTGGGATCCAGTGATGGTTTCTTCAACAGCGGTTTTATAACAGCTTGTTTTAAGCTCGCTGGAAATTTTCCTTCCTGTAAGGAGGCATTAACCATTACCTTCACCCACTCTGCCAAACCCCCTGTGGCTTCTTTTATCAGCCAGGATGGGCAGGGGTCTAGGATGCATGTGGTGGGTCGCACCTCTCCAAGGATCCTGTCCACATCCTCAAGCTGAACCAATTGAAACGAATCCAACAAAACTGGACAAGCAGATGTTCTCGTTACATCCCCGGAGACTGCCGTTAACATGACGTCAAAGCCTGACCGAATCCGCTCAATTTTATCCGTGAAGAATCGAGCAAATGCTTCACAGCGGGCCACCGAGTTATCCGAGGCCTCGCATTTTGGCGGATTTAACAGGCCCCTGACAACTCGGAAAAGCTCAGCCGGACGATTTTTCGCGGATGCAATATTGGCTGTAATAGATGTTTTTTGAGCTGCCGCTATTGCCACACCGTAGGACCTTAAAAAGGCATTCAGGTGTGTTTGGGCTGGATTGGTGGGGTTCTGGCGCCACACGCACTCTAGCCTCCTCTTCTTTCGCTTCATCGCTGCCAGCTCCTCAGTAAACCAAGAGGCTGGTTTAGCTCGGTTACTCGAGAGGGGACGTTCCGGAGCGATTGTGTCAATTGCCCTGGTCAACTCACTGTCCCAGCGAGAGACCAGAGCATCGACAGAGTCGCCAGCCAAGGAGGTGGAGAAATCCCCAAGAGCCGTCAGAAAACCATTTGGATCCATAAGTCTCCTGGGGCGGACCATTCTAATGGGTCCACCACCCCTGCGGAGGTTAGAAGGCACAGTTAGTCTAAATCTGATCAGATGGTGATCGGTCCATGGCAATGGAGCGATGGTCAGCTCCTCCACCCCGTCACCCTCATCCCATCCCTGCGCAAAAACCAAATCCAAAGTGTGCCCGGCACTATGGGTGGGACCAGATATTAGTTGGGACAGGCCCATGGTTGCCATGGCGGCCATGAAGTCCTGAGCCGCTCCTGAGAGAGAGGCCTCGGCATGGACATTGAAATCTCCCAGGACTAAAAGCCTTTGGGAGCTCAAAGCCATGTCCGAGACCACTCCCGCTAGCTCAGGTAGGGAGACTGTATAGCAGCGGGGTGGTCGGTACACTAACAGAATCCCTATCCTGTCCCGGTCACCTATCCTAAAGCCGGCACATTCAAACGAAGATGTTTGTGGGATGGGACATCTGATAAGAGGGATAAACTCCTTATAGACCACTGTGACTCCTCCTCCCCGCCCTCCAAGCCTTGGTTGGTGCTGAACAGAGTAGCCTGGTGGACAGAGTTGGGAGAGGTTAACCCCTCCCCCTTTGTCCAGCCAGGTCTCCGTTATACAAGCCAGGTCGGCCTATTCTTCTTGGATTAGAACTTGAATAATAGCAGTTTTTCCATTTACCGACCTGGCATTGAACAGCACCACCTTTAACCTGGAGGGTCCACCATCCTGGGACCTCAGTTGTATCTTGTCAGGAGGATGTTTTGAAGCTGCCAATCTGTTTTTGCTAATTTCGGGCCGAATTGTAGTCTCAATTTTTGGAGTTGCCAATGTTCTGTTATAAATTTTTGGCCGAATTTGATTTTTCCTTGGGTTGTTAGCATTTTTGGAGGTTGCCAATCTATTATCGTGAATTTTGGGCCGGAATAAATAATTTGCTCTCCCTTTCCCGTATCTCCCTCTGCCTGTCACCACCCCTATGGCGGCACCCCCACCCGTGGGCCCACCCCTTCCCCCGGGGACATGTCCTCCATTTCCATCTATTGTTGTTCCATATGTCAATGCTTGATGATAATTGTAGTCACATGTAGTTAGGTATTGATGTTCCCCCCCTCCTTGAGATTGCCTGCTCCTTCCAGTGTATTAAAAATGGTAAAGTGCACTAGTATCGATAGCAGCAGGATTGGAGTTAATGGTAACATAGGAGTAGGGTAATTGATAAACAACAATATTTGTGCTTAGTTCCAAAGTGACTGTGCAAAACTCTGAGCAGTTATTTAAAGTGCGACACAATTGATCACAATTAATCACAATTAATCAATCAATCACTTGATCATGGATCTGGGATTTGGGACCGGTTTGCTACTGGCAAGAGTTCTGGCAGATTAGGGATCTAAAGTGCTCAATGTAAAGTGGTATAGTGCTATGATAGTTCTAAAGTGCAAAGTTAGTGCCTTCTGGACTAAATCCACAATCAACCTTCAATCAGGACAGTCAGTTCAAACAATAGGAACCCAGTACTCTAGGTCCATGGAAAGCAAGCCGGCACCCATTGGCCGGGTCCCTAGTTCTTCTTGGCCGACCTCAGAAGGAGATGACCCAGTTCACGGGAAGATGGTAGCCCGGATATTGAAGACAACAGTTATTTAACACTAGTTACCAGCACAGATTCTAAACTGTATTAAATGATGTTACTTGCACAGTTTGGGTTGAACCATAGAGGGCAGTATAGAGTGATTAGCTGACTAATTCTCTGGAAAGGATAGCAACGCTGAGTCATGGACGCCCAGCAGCCCACACTAAACTAAGACACACTAAATTAACCCAAAAATAAAATAAAATAACAATAAAATAAAATAAAAGTAAAAAATAAGAATAAAAACAAAACAAAACAAAACAAACAAAAACAAAAACAAAATTATAAGAATAAAATAATAAATCAAGATGGTGAAGGGCCACAGCAGCAGCAATCCTTGGGGGGGGGGGGTCCTCCTCTTCCCCTCAGCGGCGGTGGTGGTTTCCTTCTCTGGTGGTGGCTCCTCTCTCTCCTCCCCGTCTCGGCAGCTCCAGGTGGCTGCGAGGTGGCAATGGCGATGGCGGGCCTTCTCCTCCGGTGATGGCGAGGTCTGCTCTTCGACCGGGCCACCCGGGACCAGTCTCGTCCCCCAGCCGCTGCGCGCGATGGCACACTGGCAGGGCGGCCCTAGGTGGTAGCGGCAGTGGCGGCAGCAGCGATGGTAAGGCTGCTATGGCCCGCTTTTCCTAACAGCCTGGGCCTGGCCGACTTCGAATGTCGTCTGGATCGGCGCAGCGGAGTGGGGCAGCGGCGGCGTTTACAGCAGGGCTACGATTCACAGCGGCCGCGGCGGTGATGGGAGGCCCGCTGCGACCTCCCGCTGCAGTCAGATCGAAAGTACCTTCCAGTTGATGCCAGGACGCAAGGAGATGGCAGCGAGGTGGCGTCCTACGGCAGCCGCAGCAGTGAAGGAGGCCCGCTTTGCCCTGCTCCTCCGCTAGTTAGCCTGGGACCGTCCACACTCCAGTTGTCGTCCAACTCGGCGTGGGAACGAGGCGGCGGACCGTGGTGGTCGTAGCGGCTATGTCACAGCCCCTTCCTCCGTCGGCCCGTGAGGCCTGCGAGGTGGAGTTTGGCAGCAGCAGTGATAGAGGCCGAATCGGACCGGCAGCGAGGCAGCGAGGTAGGCCCTTTGTAGTTAGGCCCAGCAGGTAGGCCCAGCAGTGAGGTAGGCCTTTGTAGCTATTTTTTTAACGCTGTTATCCAAGGTAGACCTCCTTTAGATGTTTTTAGTTAGTCTATGTTGCTTTAGGTGTTCCCTGGGGGGAGGATTCCGAGAGATGTAAAATTCCTTCCCCGAGCTGCTGTGGGTCAGTATTGCAGCTCCGCCATCTTGGCAAAAAAAAAAAATGATGCCTTTTATTGATGAGGAAGAACACCAAAGCTAAGAGAAGTTGCAGGACGTGGCTTTTGCCTCTGTCTATTCTGCCTCCTCTTCTCCCTCTTGCAGAGTTACTTGAGTACAAAGTAGTCATGTGTATTTGGGACTTACCTTGATCCGTTTCGTGTCCTGGCTTTCAGTGGGAACCCTGATCCATTTTTGTCTCAGCCTCTCGAAATCGGGAGGTCAGATATTTGTTTTTTGTTCTCGGGGCTGAAAGATCCCTTTTCTTTTGGCATATTATTGGAGGGTACACTTCACTCGTAGGTGCAAAGCACCCGGGTCTATGGGTGCAGGCTTTGGGCCTACATACTCGAGCCTCGCAGGGTCTGCAGCCAAGCACCGAGTAAGGAGTGCTCCTTACTAGGGCAAGCTCTTGTCTTTGTTTACAGAATATTCTCTGCAAATAAAGGAGAATGTGACTGGGATGCGTCTTGTTTATTTATTTACAATACTTATATACTGCCTTTCTCAGCCTGAAGACAACTCAAGGTGGTTTACAGTTGGCACAATTCGATGCCCCCAACAACATAAAACACAATTCAAAAACATTTAGCAAATAATATAAAAAGCACACAAAGCCAATCTATATAAATAAAAATGTAATGTCCATTTTGTGGGATTAACATAACTCAAAAACCACTGGGCGGATTGCTGCCAAATTTGACTACAAGACACCTACTAATCCAAGGAGCGACCATCACTAAAACAAAAAAAAATGATTTTGTCATTTGGGAGTTGTAGTTGCTGGGATTCATAGTTAACCTACAATCAAAGAGCATTCTGAACTCCACCAATGATGGAATTGAGCCAAACATGGCACACAGGACTCCCATGACCAACATAAAACACGGGTTTGGTGGGCATTGACCTTGATTTTGGGAGTTGTAGTTCACCTAAATCCATGGATCTGGACCAAATATTCCATATGCCCAAATATGAACACAGATGGAGTTTGGGAGAAATAGACCTTGACATTTGGGAGTTGTAGTTACTGGGATTTATAGTTCACCTACTATCAAGGAGCATTCTGAAACCCACTGACAGAACTGGGGCAAACTTCCCACTCAGAACCCCCATGACCAACAGAAAATACTTAAAACCATCCAGTCCAACTCCCTTCACCGCGGCAAGAAAACATTATCAAAGCCCTCCTGACAAAGAGCCATCCAGCATAGATATAGATATATATGATTCACACATACACAGATACAGTATCATAGATTTGAAAGGGACCCTTAAAGAAGGACAATTATATGTTGCATGTTCCAGAGAAGGCAAACCAGACAATCTCCACATCAACACTGACAAAGAAACTACAAGAAATACTGTTTAGCCACAAGCATAAAGACATTACAAATATTACCAACACTTTCTCATTACTTTATTTCCCAGAGCAACAGAATGGGCCACAGCAGCACGTGGCAGGGGATAGCTAGTAAAAACAGAAATCCTCAGCGTCTCTTTACTAAAATCATTTTCCAATTCACGTCGTCCAGTCGTTCCATAGATCTATATTTGGCTGTTGCACTGCATTTGCAAATGCTTGCTCAAAAGGCCAGGTTTTTACTTTTTAACAAAATGTTAGGAGGAAGGGGGCTAATCTAATATCCCTAGGAAGGGCGTTCCACAGCCGAAGGGCCACCACTGAGAAGTCCTTGTCTCTTGTCCCCGCCAAACGCATTTGTGAAGAAGGCGGTACCGAGAGCAGGGCCTCCCCAGACGATCCTAGAGCCCTAGATGGTTGAATGATGGAAAGCTGGGCAGTAAAGTACAGCATAGAACAAAAGCTTTCCTTCTGTCACAAAAGCATTGTTATTGCTGCAAGCCAATAACAACCAAATATGGAGATACAGAAGAGGTTCAAATTGGAACATTCACTGATGCCTTTGCCTGGTGAAATTATGCTCCCCTCTACTGGCTAAGCATATAATGCTTTGAAAATAATGTTGAAATTCAGGATGCCTTCAGATGAGGGTGTTCTTGTGCAATAGTCTTCCGACAAACAGATTTACAAGGCATGCAGACATCCTCATCTTCCACTTGTAACTCTATGTTTCACCATACTTTTCAGCTCACACAGAAAGATAAGCATTTGCCACATAAATATTATGGCAGTGCAGTGTTACATTTACCTTACAATGTAATAAGATAAGCCAAACTCAGGAAGGGATTGCCATGCCTGGATAAACCTCAATTTGGCTTCCATCAGGGACATGTGAGCAATATTCTGGTGAGCCTCCAAGATACGAGTAGAAAGCTAAATAAAACAGGCGAAAAAAAAGCTTTGATATATAGATGTGAAAAACAACAGAACAGCATTAGACATCGAGGCTGTGTGAAAGACTGATTGTGAGAATGTAAATCACCAAAGCAATACAAGAATGCTATTAGAGAGATGAGGAAGTTATTGTTTCCATATCAGTATGTTTTATTTGCTTAACAAATTTGATGCGAGACAAAAGGCTGGTATGAAAAAAGGACTTAGTTCAGCAATCCCTATCATCCCTCACTATTATCTAGGCTGGCAGTGAGACATCTCCATCATGGGTAAAAACCTTCCTCTTTTCCTGCTGCCTTTTCCCATACTAAGCATTATTGTCATTTCTAATGAGTGATGTCTTACCATGATGTGCCCAAACTATATCAGTCTCAGTTAAGTCATCTTTGTTTCTGTCCTAAGAGTAGTCTATTGTCCTAAGCACAGGTTACATATCAGGACAACTGTTTCAGCATAATGATTTCTTTAAGAGCGATCCATAGTTTTTCATGATGTATACAATCACAGGCTTTGATATAGTCTACAAAGCATGGTCTGTTTTTCTTCTGAAGTTTTTAGTGTGTTCCATTATTCATTATATGTTTGCAATATGATCCCTGGTGTTTCTTTCTTTTCTCAACCCATCTTAGACATCACGCATTTCTCACTTTTTGATGGAGAATTTTGAACATCACCTTGTTTGCATGGGAGATTAATGCAATCATCTGGTAGTAACAACAATTCCTGGTGTCCCCTTTCTCAGGAGTTTTGTGTGTGTGTGTCAGGACTGACTTGAGAAACTGCAAGTTGCTTCTGGTGTGAGAGAATTGGCTGTCTGGAAGGACAATGCCCAGGGGACACCGGAATGTTTTTATCATCCTGAGGGAGGCTTCTCTCATGTCCCCACATGGGAAGCTGTAGCTGACAGATGGAGCTCACCCTGCTCCCCAGATACGAACCGCCAACCTTTCGGTCAGCAGTTCAACCTGCACAAGGGTTTCACCCATTGCACCACCGGGGGCTCCATCTTGGGACTGGAATGTATATTGAACATTTTTAGTCTGTCGGTCATTGTTTTATTTTCCTTATTTGTTGAGAGATTATAAATTAGAATAGAATAGATTCTGTCTCTGTATTCTGAGGCAGCTCTGCTGATATGCCATCTCCTCCTGGTGATTTGCTTTTCCCGAGTACTCTGAGTGGAGCTTCCAATTTACTTTTTTCTGATAGTTCTTTGAATCTGTCATCCTTTCATCTTTTCAATATACTGCAGTTATTTAGTGTTCTATTCATTTTTTAAAATTTATATTTGTGTCATGTAATGTGATCTCTTGATGGTTGTAGATCATCCCTACTCTTGGTTTAAATTTGATTCTTGGAAGAGGTTACTTCTTTTTGTTGTTTCATTGTCACCTGAATGGATTTTATAGCAGTTCTTTTTTATTCCCATTAGTTGCTGAATAATTGCAACCTAGACTCTGGCTCTATTTCTGTCACATTTTCCTTTCACTTCTTGTCTTTCATCTGTCATTCACCAAGGTTCTTCTTTCTTTTGGGGTTCAGCTGCCTTTGTCCCACCCTTCTGCCTTATGCTCTTTTGGGAATTTAGGAGTCAAGCACAGTTTGCAAATGGTGCAACTATGGAAAAAACAAACTATCAATCCACATTCTCTATATACACTGTCGGCACTGAATATACTATCTAGCTCTCCTGGATCAAGCTAACTCTTTGGAAATTCATTTACAGAACAGTGGATCAATGCCTTGTGGAGGAAGGGGTCTATGGAATTCAATTTTTGCTTTGGTTAAGAGGAGCAACATGGATTGAACTTGAGTCAGCTTCATAATGCTTAATCCTGAAATCAGCCTTAGGTGCAGAGGTTGTTTCTCAGTCCTTCATCCCCACTTACCTGCTTAGACTTGTATTTCTTTGCATATCTTGGTGAGACAAAGCACTCTGGTTTCATGTCCATGCTTTCTACATCTGAAACATCTTGGGGAGCAGTAGTCCTGCTTTTCATTTTTAAGAAAGACATGATATTTTGGACCTCAGGATGGTAGGAGCTGTCTGCCATAGTTTTGCCTTTAGAAGCCAAAATGCAAGCTGCCATCCATCTGGCATATTGATTTTCCTGCAATAAACCAGCATGATGAAGAAAGAGGGTCTGAAAATTTATTGCACTGAAATATTGTTTAATCCTAGTGATTTAAATTATATCTAGTTTATTGTTAAAATGGGTGCAGGCCCTCATTTCTGAAGCATCACACTGGGAACACGGGGCCAGAAGTTATTGAATTACAACAGGGGTCCTCTAACTACGGCCCGAGGGCCGGATACGGCTCTGCAGGGTCATTTACCCGGCTCTCGCTCAAGGACAACCTAAGTCTGAAACGACTTGAAAGCACGCAACAACAACAGCAATCCTATCTCATCAGCCAAAAGCAGGCCCGCGCTTCCCATTGAAATACTAATATGCTTATATTTGCTTAAATTGTTCTTCATTCTAATTGTTGTATTGTTCTAAAGTGTTTTTTTGCACTACAAATAAGATATGTGCAGTGTGCATAGGAATTCATTCATTTTTTTTCAAATTATAATCCAGCCCTCCAACAGTTTGAGGGTGACCTGGCCCTCTGTGTAAAAAGTTTGGGGATCCCTCAACATCCATCATCCTTTACCACTGTCTGTGCTGACCCAGGGTTAATGGGAGCCACTTTCCAAAGGACTCTGTAAGGCAACACATCCCTCATTACTGAAATGTACAGAACTCTAGACCAAGGCTCTGGGTATCTGGTGAAGTTATCAACTTCTTTCTTTTAGTCTCAAAAGAGCCACAGAATTCCTTTATATGTTAAAAAAAAAGCAGTTAGGATTCACCTGCATTAATCCAGATGGTTTCAAAACAAGATTAGACAAAAGCTATCAACAATCCTGGGTTCACAGTCTGGAAATATCAGTCACTGCGTAAGCATAGTAAAAGTGAACAATGTGTCTTCACCCCAACTGTGGGTCTCTGAGTGAACCCTGGATGTTCACTGTGAAAAGAGAAGATAATGGACTAGGTACTGAACTAGATGAGTTTGGGTCTACCTCTGTATCATCTTTAATAATTGTAAGGTGGGTTGAGTTGTACACCACTGGTGCGGTTACTGCTTGATACAACAGGGATACTAGTGCTCCACCCTTCAGTATATATATGTATTGGTGGAGGAAGCTGTGTAAGGAGAACTCAAAGACTAGCAAACCAGGTGCAGGTGGAGTGTATTCTTATTGCATTTCTCCTCATTCCCCTCTTCATGTGCAACAGTAGCCACACAAGAATTGCTTTTTTGCAGAGAGATCCCACATAGCGAAAGGCTATGTGAACAGGGAGAAGCAGGTGTATGTGTCGTTCCTCCCTAACAGGCACAAATAAAAGGACCAGTCAACTAACTCTGCCCATAAGGTTGCACCAGTCATACAACATCCCCAGGTTTCAGAGAACCAAACCTCGAAGAAGCAAAGCCTGCAAGTGGATGTGCTTGATTTAATTGATGCCCTTTCTATGTCATGTACAATCTGGGGTTTTGAGGAGTTTCGAATTTGAAAAATCAAACTTGGCTCTTTTGAAAATCAAATCTGAATGAGGCTTTTAATAAGAGCAAGGTGTTCCAATATGATCCATCTTTGCTACTCTGAAATTTGTGGTAGTTTGTCAGTATACAGAACAGAATGGACAATTATATGGGATGTTCAGAAAAAATGACATGTAAAAATAAATATATTGGGGGCAAAGATGGATCATATTGGAACACCTTGCTCTTACTAAAAGCCTCATTCATATTTGATTTTCAAAAGAGCCAAGTTTGATGCCCTCTCTCCTTGCTTTTGGGTGTCTTTAAGAACCCTATATCCCAGGATCTGATTCCAGGTTTTCTGTTTATCCCAGATTATCCGGCAGTGGGGACTCATATAATCCAGGTTAAAGCAGAAAACCTGGGATCAGATCCTGGGATATAGGGTCAGTTTGGAAGGGCCCTAAGTTAGAGTTGGTTGTATACGTTTGTGCATGGATACATAGTCAGAGCACTTATGGGACTGCATACGCTAGAGGGCAAATTTAGTTTTAAATTGGTAGCCTTATGAACTGATGGGGCATCCATTTCAAAGATCTATTATTTTCTTGTATGAGTTCCAATTATCAAGATAGGTAGGATATGGGATCCAACCTTTGAAGGTGTGTGGGTCTGGATTTTAATCAGGCCAGAGGTGTGCAAGGAGGGATGGTTTACTTCTTTCCTCACCTGCCACAGAAGCCAGGAGAGGCAGGCCATCATTGGTACCAGTGAAGGATTGTGATGGGGAAGAAAAAGTTAAGTTCCCCTTATTTAGGCTGCTGGCCTGATGACCACCAAGCCCCATACACTGTTTACTATAACATATTCTTGCGCACCAGCATGGCTAACTTGGTCTTTAATTTCTGCCCTCTTTTTCCAGAAGAACTAAGTTCATTGCTTTGGATTCTGGAGAACCTTAAACACTTTCTTCCTCCCTGTTCCTCCTCCTTCGAGACTCACATACGGACAATGCAGAGTATTTTGAGAGACTTCTTAACTCTAGCTGTTCTCCATGAGACAGTATCACCGTTCCATTGTGCTAATCCTTTTTATACAATATTATTGTTGTGTGTTGTCAGATGGACTCCAATTTATGTTGACTTTATCATAGGCTCATCTTCACAAGATTTATTCAGATGTGTCCTGCCATTTCGCTCTTCTAAGCCTGAGAAAGTGACTTGCCCAAGGTCATCTAATAGATTTCCATGGCTGAATGGGGATTTGAACCCTGGTCTCCTGGAGGATTAGTCCATCACATAAATCCCATGCTAGCTTTCCCCACAGATATCCTCATTCACTGGCTGACTTGTATTGTACTATCAATTCATTTGTTGTGCACATAAATGAAATAATTATGCTCTACATCTGTCTGGCTTTACTATGCTAATCATGATCCCTGGGCCATAAGCACACATTCCTAAAAAATACCCAAAGAGTAATAGACTCTCTAACAGAATCATTGGCTGTTTCTTGACTTACGTTATCACATCTCAAGTGTACTTCATTCATTCCATCAGCCACAGGGATGAGTAATTTAATTCCATATTTTTTCCCTGACACATTTACGTCTGGGACAATTTCACAGCCTGAAGGACATAACGAATGAGAAGTCATGAGTGAGGATAAGCAAAAGAAACAAAAAAACCTATCATGTAAAACAAAAAGACTTAAATCCAAGTTGAATAAATGGAAATTTAGTGAGCAAACAGCAATGTAAATTCCGTTGACTCATTAGTTTTGGGAACGAAGGAGTTGATTAGGTTAATCCAAAAGGGTGTCATCAATCAATATTCAGATGACACCCAACTCTACTACTCCTTTCCACTCCCAAGACAAGAAGGCTGTCGTGGCTTTAAAGCAGTGTCTGTCATCAGTAATGGACTGGAAAAGAGCAAATAAATTAAACCAGATAAGATGCTCCTGATCAAACAGCAGACAGATCAGAGAATAGAGCGTAAGCCAGTGTCAGATGCTATACTCCTGCTGAAAATACAAATTTGTGGGATATGGCGTACTTCTTGACTCCTCTTAAACCTGGAGGCCTGGATTGCTGCAGTGGCCAGGAGTGCCTTGTACATTTTAAAAGTTGTGCGTCAACTATGTCCATTTCTTGAGATGCCGTATCTGGCCACAGTGGTACTTGCTTTCGTTATATCCCGTTGCTGTACTTGGTTGGACTAGATGAATGTTTTTGAAACTTCAGCTGGTCCATAGAGCTGCATCTAGACTAGATTGTTAACGGGCAGTTTACAGAGAACAACCAAGTCCTTAATAAAACAGTCTACCCAGCCAGTTTTAAGCATGAATTTTAAACTCGTGTCTTGTGTTTAATCTCTATTTTCTAGAAATACATTTTTATTTTCTAGAAATACATTTCTAGAAAATATTTATTTTCTAGAAATACATTTTAATATGGGTATTTATAGAGTTTTTACAATGTTTATGTGTTTAATTATGCTGTAACCCACCTCGATCCACAAGGAGAGACAGGTAAGAAATAATAATAACAATTTATTAATAATTAATAAATTAGCCAGCAGAACAAATCAGAACAAATGCAATTAAGGCCAGGGTTGAAAAATCAGCTGATGACCCAAAATGCAGACTGTGCAAGGAAGGTGATGAAACCATTGATCATATCCTCAGCTGCTGCAAGAAAATCAGACAAACGGACTACAAACAGAGGCACAACTCTGTGGCCCAAATGATTCATTGGAACTTATGTCACAAGTACCAGGTGCCAGTAGTAAAAAACTGGTGGGATCATAAACCTGCAAAGGTAGTAGAAAATGAACATGCAAAACTCCTGTGAGACTTTCGAATCCAGGCTGACAAAGTTTTGGAACAAAATACGCCAGATATCATGATTGTGGAAAAGAAAAAGATTTGGATTACTGATGTTGCCATACTGGGTGACAGTTGCATGAGGAAAAACAACAGGAAAAGCTCAGCCGTTATCAAGACCTCAAAATCGAACTGCAAAGGCTCTGGCATAAACCAGTACAGGTGGTCCCAATGGTCATTGGCAGACTAGGTGCGGTGCCAAAAGATCTCAGCCGGCACTTGGAAACAATAAACACTCACAAAATCACAATCTGTCAACTGCAAAAAGGCCACCTTACTTGGATCTGCATGCATCATTTGAAAATACATCACACAGTCCTAGACGCTTGGGAAGTGTTCGATTTATGATTTTGTGATACGAAGTCCAGCATATATATCTCGTTTGCTGTGACATACTGTGCTTTTGTGTCAGTAAAATAATAATAATAAGAATAATAATAATAATATAATCTGAACGTTTTTTGGAGGGGAATATTCAGAGTTCTGGTTTTGACTTTTAAAACACAATATAATTCAGGTACAGGCCAATTGGCAGACTATCTTCCTATATGAACCAGCCAGCCAGAGCCCTGACATCCTGAGGAGAGGCCCTCCCCTCACTCCCACCACCATCACAAACATGGTTAGTGAGGATGCAAGAGAGGACCTTCTTGGTGGCTACTCCTGTGCTCTGAACTCATTTCCAAGAATGGCCTTCCCAGAATTATTTTTAGTAGTTTTTGATGTTTTAAAATTCATTTCAAAAATTCATGTTTTAATATAGTGCACAGGTTCATTCTGTTTTAATGTTCACTTTTTGTATGTTTTTAACTATGGTTCATTTAAATTGAAAAGTGCTTTGAATCTCAATTTGGGGGGGGGGGGGGTTAGTATTGCTACTAGTATTACTACTTCTGTTAAACTATTTTCCGAAAGTGTAGAAGATTAATATTATATTGCTAAAATCGCCTGGAAAATTTTCTTTCTGTGGCCCCTTCTACACTGCCATACAATCCAGATTATCAAAGCAGATAACCCACATTATCTGCTTTGAACTGGATTATATGAATCTATACGGCCAGTGTAGAAGGGACCTGTGTCTAATGAACTAAGACATAAGAAGTAAATTTTCTTCAGTCTGTACAAAGTACACATGTTAACACATGTAATTTAGTCCTGATTACAAGAAGTAAAATTGATTTTAGGCCAAAGGTAAACCTCAAGAGCAAGGATGAGGATTATCCAGGCTGAAAGCCTGATGGGAACTATAATCGGTTGAATTGGTTTGGGAATGTCCTGGAGCTTCACTGAAATTCTGCAGCAGTTCCATAGTTCAGACAGAGTAGAGACAGCAGATCTCCTCCAACACAAACCACTCTAATGTTCACAAAGGATGGTGCTGCAATTCCCTTTTCCCAGCAGAAATGCTCTGGACTGATGACAGAGACTATAGAGGTGTCTGCACACTCTGTCCTCAGTAGTGATGGTCAACGTCTATAGAGTCCAGCCAGGCCATGCTTTGGATTGACTCCAAAATAATCGGCCAATGTAGACAAACCCTTAATTGTAGGGAAATGGTTTAATAATTCCAAGCAACTTCATTGCCATGGATAGCTCTGATAGTGAAGGCAGGGAGATGTTGTTTGAAGGTCCAGCATTTGAGCTGGAGCCCAGCAGTCCCCAGCATTTCCCTCAGCTGAGCTTACGAGAAGAGCCTATGGAAGAAGCTACCACTTCTCAGCCTGCAGAACAAGTATTACTCAAAAGTTCATCTGAGCAGGTGGAGGAAGTATTAAAGTGATCCGGCCCTCTTGGACGTGTGAAGGAAGAAGGTTCAACTTCACAGTTCCTCCAGGTTAGAGGAGAAATGCACTATCAATAGGCAACTTCTGAGAAGCTAACATAAAAGGTGCTCAAGAGTGGCATCTTGTTGCTGGCAGCAACTTCAGCATTTAGAGCTGTGACCTCGGCTGTTGGTGATCTCTGGACTGTGGACTATCTCTTGGACTCTGCTATTTGGATTTGTGAATTAACCCTTGACTTGACTCTGTTAAAATTGGCTTTGAATCTTGGAATGGACTATTGCTTTTCTGGTGTTATTCCCTGCTGTTGTTTCTTTTCGTTTGGATTCTGTCGGTTAGACTTGGACCGTTTGCTAACCACCTGTTTGGAAATGGGCCCTGGCTTTATGGCACTCATCCTCTATCCTTCACTCATTTGGCTGGTAAAACAAATGTGGAAAAATGTTTAAATCAAAATCTCATGTACAAACTGCATACACTGTGCCTGTGTGCAGGAAAAGAGCAAATACACACATTATCCAATGTGTTGAGTAGCATACAAAAACATCACTTTATAAAAGGTAGTGTGAAAACACCTCTCCCTACCTCTTAAGTTGAGTTTCTCAATGGGTTCTCCATATCCTGCTTCTTTGTTTTTAAAATAAGATATGGAAGTGTCTTTGAAGACAAACCAGTATTCCTTGAAGGCTTTCAGTGTCAGCTTTTTGGATCTGCAATTAAAAAAGAATTGCATCAGATCTCTTTCTGGGTATACTAAAGTAATGGTAAAGGTTTCCCCTTGACATTAAGTCTAGTCGTGTCCAACTGCCAGTGTTGTCCGTAGACACCTCCAAGGTCATGTGGTCAGCATGACTGCATGGAGTGCTGTTACCTTCCCACTGGAGTGGTATTTATTCATCTACTCACATTTGCATGTTTTCAAACTGCTAGGTTGGCAGGAGCTGGAGCTGGGCAGGAGCTGGACCTCACCCCACTCTCTGGATTTGAATGGCCAACCTTTCAGTCAGTAAGTTCAGCACCTCAGTAGTTTAACCTGCTACCAACTAAGACAGCCAAGCTGTATTCCTCAGTGCATTTGGGGAATTTCTTGCGGGCACCACTAATGGATGACCGATTTTTTTCTCAGACATATCCTCAATTGAGAGGAGCAGTTGAACTTTCGATTGGGAACAAAATCCAATTCATTTTAACAGAATTATTTTATCTCAAATACACTCCCTGGCACAATGATCTAAATTAATGAGATTTACTTCCTATTCAACATACCATAGAATTAAAAGGTTTAAATGAGTCACTTCACTGGAAGAAAAGCTAGCAACTTTGCAATGCAAACAACTGAGCTTTTCTTTGGAAACTCAGTTTGTTTACCAGCACTAAAAACTACTAAGAAGACAAATACACGTGGGACCTGCACAAACTGGTTATTTGTATTCATTTAAAGATACACGTAGAACTGTGCCTCTTGATCAGGCATGGGCAAACTTCGACCCTCCAGGTGTTTGGACTTCAACTCCCACAATTTCTAACAGCCAGTAGTCTATTAGGAATTGTGGGAGTTGAAGTCCAAAACACCTGGAGGGCCGAAGTTTCCCCATGCCTGATCTTGATGATGTAGGTTTGTAGCAAATAAGACCTGTTAGTCTTTAAGGCGTCACAACAGAATAGTGTGGCTATCCCCTCTGTTATTGTGAAAAAGATTAAAATTGCAGAAAGCCATTGTAATTTAATAAAGCACAATAACTACTGTTTTTTCCCCTTTTGTCTCCCTTTTTACTTACCTAAATAACTTGAGGTTATCTGCAAGCATTGGTATATCTGTGATATCCTCCTGTAGACAGACAATCATTATTTTAGTACAATATATATTTTAGGTATTGCCTGCATATTTGAAAACCATAATGTAAACATTATACTATAATTTTCAAGTTGTGGTTTTCTTTTCTGTAATATGATTTTTTTTTTTAAAAAAACAGAGTCCAACAATATGTTGTAAGAAACTGAAGCATTCATGTCAAACAAACAATGATCTTTTACACTTTCAAAGAGGTGAAATAACCCAAATACATTTTCCTCACAATATAAGAAGTTGACAAAAATATTTTAATGAAAATCTCAGCAAAGTCTGAAATTTAGGAGGAGAGTTGCAACAATATTATGTGTATAATGGAAATATAACAGTGTGGCTCCTTATTGGTTCTGTTTTGTAGAATGCAAAGGCCCCTTCTACACTGCCATACAATCCAGATTATCAAATCAGATAATCCACATGATCTGCTTTGAACTGGATTATATGAGTCTACACTGCCATATAATCCAGTTCAAAGCAGATAATCTGGATTTAATATGGTAGTGTAGATGGGGCCTTAGGCCTTTCCACGCAGCCATATAACCCAGAATATCAAGGTAGAAAATCCCAAAATATCTGCTTTGAACTGGGTTATCTGAGTCCACACTGCCATAGATCCCACTTCAAAGTGAAAAATGTGGAATTTTATTCAGCTGTGTGGAAGGAGCCTTAATGACATTAAACCACAATCCTTTCTCCTCTGTTGCCACATTGACATGACTCTATGACCCCTAAAATCACATGTGTTACATACCAATGCGCCCTCTGTTTTTCCACCTTCTAGAGTTACTTCAAGATTTGAAAGAGCAGCCTCCACTTCATCTGTTTCGGTTTCAGTTGTGAAAGCTTGTGACCCTGATGATAATGTCAGCTTGCTGACATGATACTACAATAAAGATATAACAGTATTGAAAGATGACCAGAACAGCTTCATTTAGTTCATACCTATGGGAGATCTGAAGTACCATAGTGATTTGAGCATGGGGCTATGACCTTGGACACCAGGGTTTGAATCCCTACTTCACTATAAGTCCACTCAGTGATGGAAATCCATTGGGTGACCTTAGGTTACACACAACCGCAATCCCAGAAAGCACCACGAGGCTGGATCTACACTGCCCTATATCCCAGGAACTGATCCCAGATTATCTGCTTTGAACTGGATTATATGAGTCTACATTGCCAGATAATATGGGATGAGTATATAATCTAGGATCAGATCCTGGGATATAGGGCAATGTAGATCCAGCCTAACTTAAGATCTTAGGGTCACCTAAAGTTGGCAAGGACTCAAAGGCACACAACAAGAAACAACAAGTAGGGAAAAAAACCCTTTTGATATTTGTGGAAGTCATTCATAATTTTTTTGATAAATCCCCCAATAGTTCACAAACTTTGAGAAAATGGAATATGGCCACATGTCTGTCTCCCTTTCTTTCCTTGTTCCCTCTCACAAAGCAGTTTGGCTAAAATGTTCAACTTTACTCACAACTTTAACCACGTGTATGACAGAAGAGGACAGCCCAAAAGGCATGTGACTATATATTTGCCAATCAGCTTCCCTCTCCCAGGATAGATGGTTCTTCTTATGGGAAGCACTCTGGAGCAGCCATTTGCCTTTTAAATTGGTTCCAAAGTACCACTGGGTCTCCTGCACTGTTGGACTTAAAAAAAACATGTTTCTTTTTTTCAAAGCCTCAAATGGAATTCTGGCTTGTCCCAGGCATTACTGGAGCATTTTTGGCTGCCCAGATAGCTCCCAAGAATGGCTATGGTACCTGAAATAGTTATGTTTACTTTTGGAGTTAATCATGTTACAGTAAGTTGTAGCAGGACCAAGTGTGTGTGTCTTGAAGAAAATCCTTATGATGGCAATTATTTTGTGCAGCTGGTAATGTAGGTCAACCAGGAATCTTGGACCACATCCGATAGGGTATAACAGTATAGGTTTTTAGAATACAGTTCTGGAGAGCTTTTTCTCTGAGGAGATCCATGCTAGTTACATGGTAAAGAAGTGCCTCCTTCCTTCCACTATTGCTCACATATTAGCACATAAAGCTAATCTTGCAAACACATAATAACTCTGTCTAGTACTTTCCTCTTAGAATTTGCCACCACTTAGGAGGCAGCACATAACAATATTTTTTGGTCGGCAGCTACAAATGCTTTACAACCTGAAGGTCGGCGGTTTGAATCTGCGAGATGGGGTGAGCTCTCATCTGTCAGCCCCAGCTTCTTATGCGGGGACATGAGAGAAACCTCCCACAGGATATTAACACATTTGGGCACCCCCTGGGCAACGTCCTTGCAGACAGCCAATTCTCTCACACCAGAAGCAACTTGCAGTATTTTCTCAATTTGCTTCTGACACGATTAAAAAAAAACATTTGTTGTTGTAAAAGATTAGGGCATCTGTTCATTATTTGTTTAAATAGAATTTGCATGAGCAAACCAGTTAATCACAGTTGAGAAGCTGGAGGGAGGTGAGGCCTCATGCGGAACTATAAATTCATATGGTGTTTGCTGTACTTGTGTTCTGGCAAGTGCTTAACGCAAGTGGGAAAACTGGTTTTTCAACTTAGGAGCAAGCATATACCTGCAGTGCAGCAAAAATGAAAGTTTCTTCCTCTGTGCAGTCTATTTCTTCCAGCAGAATAGCCCACCGAGCTTGTTCGTACAGCTGGCTGATCCGTACAGCATCATACTGTTGGGAAAAGAAGCAAGACCAAGGCTGCATGAGAAACTGGACATGATTTTTGTGCAAGATTGTCATAGATCAAACACTTACAACAGTGCAACTGCCTCTACACATAGTGCCTCAAAGCAGGGCTTGGAAAACATTTCAATTACATTTCAGACTAGAGAAGGCATAGGTAAACTTCGGCCCTCCAGGAGTTTTGGACTTTGGGGTTGAAGTCCAAAACACCTGGAGGGCCGGAGTTTGCCCATGCCTTCACTAGAGCCTCCTGCTATTACTAGTCCTGACTAAAGGAGATCAATGGAATCAATGGATTCTGCCTATTTGTGGACTCATCATTCAGTTAGTTGAATGGATGTGCTCTAGTTAGGTCCAAAAGGATGTCAGCCTGTATTTCCCAGAATCCCACAATATTTCTGCTGGTTGGGAGATTCTGGGAGTTACGTTTAGAAAAGTAATATTTCCAAGCTCTTAGGCTTATCCCTAAGGCAATCATTAGTACTTTCATTAGAAAGTGTGTCCAACTAAACCAACAGTGTTGCTGCTGCTGCTGCTGTGTATGTGTTCAAGTCATTGTTTTGACTTATTACAACCATATCATGGTGTTTTCTGGGGCTGAGAGTGTGTGACTCACCCAAGGTCACCCAGTGGGTCTCTATGAGCAAACGGAGAAGACCCACTGGTCTCCCAAGTTGAAATGGGCTACAAAGTGGAGTCCACGACATGCAAGTGTGGAGAAAAGCAAATCACAGACCACTTAGGTCTGAGCCCTGCCACATGCACAATGGAGGACCTTCTCACAGCGACACCAGAGGTACTCCAAGTGGCCAGCTTCTGGTCAAAGGAAATTTAGTATAATGCCAAGTTTTTAACTTTGTTTGTGGTTTTCCTATACATTATAATTGTATCCCCAATTCACAATAAATCCAAATTGTCATCCAAAACTCAAACTACGACTGTGAAGGAAATGTAACTACACCCAATTTGGGAAGTGAACAGCAAAAAAACAACAACAAAAAAACAAAAAAAAAACCCTACTTCATGTAATAGCTAAGGCTGTATCAGTATGAGTAGGAAGCTATTTTGTTTAGCAGCACAGTTGCCATGTGTAATAAAGTTCAACCTTCAAGGCTTTGGAGCAACTGCAGAAGATAACATACTCTTCCCTCTTTTTCTAAGTTCATGGCTTTGTAACTATTGGCAGGAAAACAATGAAAACTTGTTCAGACAATTTTAAAATGGAATGTAATATAGAATGCTGGTTCGGAAAGCCAGACACATGTTAGGGCTTGAGTTCGAGGTATTCATTTTTTTTCTGCACAGTAAATACCCACTCTATAAGGGTAGCACTAAAAATATGTTTTCTGTCTTATTTGCAGCAAAACACATTTTATTTTCAAGTTCTACTTCTTCACTTCAAATTTACAAATAGTTTTGCTTGGTGCAAATTCCAGTATAAAGGCAATAAACTTTCATGTTGATCAATTACATTTAATGTGCATGCATAGTTTGCCAGAAAGGAAAAATCTGTTACACTGGCTGGGGGTGATTGAAACTATATAGATAATCTCATCTGGAAAGCAGAATGTTGGGGAATACTGAAACAAATGTACCTCTCAGTTGAAATGCAAGTTTGAAATGTTTTACTTTCTTCACAGTGTAAAACTGTAGGTTTTAACAGGTGTCTATACCCAACACCACTGGAGAAATTATACTGCTTAGCCGGTATTGCACCAGCTGACATCCGCCAGGATCAAGGCAGTGACATCTCCATCCTCTGTTTGGATATCAGCCAGTGTGCCAATGTCTTAAATCAAGAAACAGCTTCCTAAGATCTACAGAGATACTCGCAGGAACACCTCAGCAAACGAGAGTCCAAAAGTGGCAAGCTAAAACCCGGAAATACTAATTAAAGACACGGGGAAAAAGAAAAGACTAACATTAAGAGAATTATGGAAGGAGGAAGTAGGAATAATGATAAATGAAAAAGAATGGGACGAGATATGGAAAGCAAGACACTTAAAAAACATGTCAATTAGAATAAAAGAAAATTATTACAAACTAATTTGGAAATGGTATTTAACACTGAGAAGGTTAAATATTATAAATAAGAACAATAATGAAAAATGTTGGCGAGGATGCCAAGCAATTGGAACCTACATGCATATGTGGTGGGACTGCAAATATGTAAAATATTTTTGGGAATTGGTTATAACAGAAATAGAAAATATCATGGATATAAAAATTAGGAAGAATACAGTAGAAATATTACTTTTGATTAAAAAGAGGAGGGAAAGATAAGAGGGAAAAAATTAATAGACATGCTATTAACAGCAGCTGGACTATTAATTGCAAAATATTGGAAAGGGGCAATGAAAATACAGAGTAATGAATGGTATAAAGAAATCTGGAAAATGGCACTGAACGATAAGCTAACATCAAACTTAAAAGTAAAGAAGGGATTATGTAAAAAAATGACTTTGAAAGTATCTGGAGAAAATTTCTAGAAAAAAGAAGATGGAAATTTACGTCCAAATGAAGAACTGATTTTTTTTTTTTGGTGGGACTTTAAGAAAAGAGATGGCTCTGGAGAAGGGGAGCACAGTGGTGAATGTAAATAAAAGAGAAGGAAATGTATAGTACATGTCTATATAATTGCATTTTCTCTTCTCAAAAAAAATATAATTAAAAAAATAAAAAATAAAACCCAGAATCTCAATCCATGACTGAGACCAGATGAGAAACTCCCTCCTGGGCACACAGAAGATTGGGTGACTTGGAAGGCACTGAACAGGCTGCACTCTGGTACCACGAGATGCAGAGCTAACCTTAAGAAATGGGCTACAAAGCGGAGACGATGACATGCGAGTGTGAGAAGGGCAAACCACAGACCACCTATTACAATGCAGCCTGAGCTCTGCCACATGCACAATGGAGGACCTTCTTAAAGGGACACCAGAGGCACTCCTAATGGCCAGCTTCTGGTCCAGGCAAATTTAGTACAATGCCAAGTGTTTAACTTTGTTTGTGTTTTAATACATTATAACTGGATTCTAAATTTTCTTCTGACATGACAAATAAATAAGAAAACTGATCTGCAAGTGACTTTTCATGATATGTTTTAAATTGTAGCAGATTATGAAAGGAATATTAAAGTTCCTTACTTTTGCATTCAAGTCAAAGAAAGTATAGTATTTAAAGCGTAACATAAGCTGATCATCTTCCTGAATGCCTTGCTCCATAAGTGACCGAGAAGAATCTAACCACCTGGAAAAGGAAAGAAAAAAAAACCAAATGTAGTTGCACCTATCTGAGGAGGAAGGAAAAGGTTAATTGTATTGTCGAAGGCTTTCATGGCCGGAATCACTAAGTTCTTGTGGGTCTTTTCGGGCTAAATGGCCATGTTCTATAGGAAAAGGTTAGTTTGCAAATAAAGAGTAAAAGTCCAGTTTATAATCATACAAGCAATATTTGACTAAGCAAAATGCTAGTTTTTAATGCTTATGTATTTTTTTATTTTCTGATAGTTTTTCTGAAATGTAGAAGCTGAAGCTCTCTATTCATCTGAAAGCATTCTAGTTAGGAAAACCAACTATATTTTTGTTTGCACAGCATAAATAGTCAGGAAAAACAACACATGGGTTTTCAGCAACTATTTGCATAAATTGTGTGAAGTTGCAGTTGCATAATTTCCTGCAAAAGAACTGCATGTAGTTATGCAAAATGTATTTTAATGGGTATTTTTTTTGCAGCTTTCTGGATTAGTATCCTCAAAACATTTTCTGAAAAAGTATGTGTATTTTGTGCAAATACATTTTTCCTAATGAAAGCTCCAAAAGTAAAGAATCTCATAGCTGATCCCTCCCCATCCCTGGCCCAAAACACCCTTTTTAAAATTAAGTATGCAAATGTTTATGCATATTCTTCACATCTCCACCCCATTTTCCATCAAAGTTAACATATGAGAACGAAAAGTAATTGCTTGTGGTATAATACTTTCTTATGCCAATATAAATAAAAAATGGGATCCCAGCCTCAAAATACTAAATAACAGTTTGGTACTCAAACCACCCCAGAAAATACACACACACACAGGAACAATGCTTCACTGCACACATTTATTCCTAGCTTATCGAAACCAGCAAATTGAGACAATCGCCAGAAGTGGCCCTTACCCAGCATTTAGTTTTGCTTTATCAACCAAAGTTCGAGGCTGATACATTTTGGCGAGTGTTTCTGGGGTACAGTTGGGGTGGTTGCAAGCAAGGCTGCTCCAGTTCTGTTTTGCCAAAGGACTGTCACCAAACCATGTGATGGTAGAAGAGATGGGGGTCCCGCTCATGGGATCATAAATGGGCGTCATGGTTTTACTGTATAAGCCAGGGCTTGCTGAAATATTAGGGATGGAAAGCAAGAAAATCAGCCTGTAAGATCACTTAATATCAAAACCCTTTTCTAATATGTCGACCTGATTTTTTTACTTATCCCAACTTGCTGTTGTTATTTGCAACTAGATCAGGTTTGACTCAGTGCATGAAAGAATGAACCAATGAATGAACACCTGTCAAGAGTTCAACTGCCATGCTTATGTCTTGTGAACTCAGGGATACTGTTTCTTAATTGAGCCAATTCACCTGTATTGCATTCCTTCTATTTTTTTTACCACAGCCCATTTTACTGAACATTATCATCTTTTCCAGGAAGATATGTTATCTCCCTAAATTTCCCGGGCCTCTCTCCCTACTGAAGAGTATTTTGTATCTGGATGGTGGACACTGCATTAATAAAACAAATATAATTATTATCTGCTGGACTGTTACCTGGCAACCCCAGACTCACAGGGGAGTTGTGCAAATTTAAGATATCTTCTATGACTGGCTCTTTGTCTTTGTCTTTCCTTTTTTTCTTTTTCACATCTTCAGGTAATTTCAGCACAGAAAGTTCTTCTGGCCGTCTTATACCTATGGACAAAATTTTACAAGATAAAAAGTCTTAAAGTGGAAACACGCTGAACACAGCTTCCTCCAGCTGAGAGTCTTTTCTTTCACACATTCTGTTGGGAAGCACAACCCTCCTGATCTTTGGCCAACGAAGAGGCTTTTGCTCAGGACCAACATCTTCCAGGTTTGGGATGGAGAGGCACCAAAATGTATGTTAGTTGTTGGGGGTGATGGTGCTGTGTTGGGTCAAAAAAGTGGTCCTCTCACAAAGTCATCGATTTAAGGAGTGAAAGGAGGATCTTCCTCTCTAGCAGTCACTTATCACCCCAGAATGCTGTGGAATTTGAGGAGGCATGAATGGAGGGCAAAAGGGAGAAATGGGCCAAGAGGAAGGCGTGTCAAGCTAACCCTGACTGGGACTGCCTTCCACTTGGAAACTGGTGCCCTCATTGTAGAAGAACATGTAGGTCAAGAATAGGGCTCCACAGTCATCTACGTATCTACCGCCAAGCCACTACACTTGGAAACCATCATACTCGGACAGCAAGGGATTGCCTAAGTAAAGCACTTCTCTCCCAGCTTGGACTCAGAAATAAGGTCAGTGGAGACAAAAATGGGAGTAGTAGGTAAGCTAGAAGAAGGACTTCATCACATGAATCAACATTTTCCTCTGTTTTAGCACACTGGCAAAACAGAGTCTGACAAAAGCCATCCCATGATGCACAACCATTTCCATGCCCGCAGGAATCTGTCTTGCCAGCATGCTAAAATGGAGATAAGACTTTGTTTTCAATAGTTGAGTAACACCTGACTCCTGATTCAAGAAATGGGAAGAAGCAAGAAGAAAATGGGGAAAGGGTGTGGGATGGCTGGCCATCCGCAAAGAAGGACCTTGTCAGGAGAAAATGGGGTAAGACGGGTCCCTGCTCTTCCTAATGCTTTCCCCCACTTCCCTTCCACTCATCTGATGAAGTTCGAAGGCAGAGTGGTTTCGTCTTCTTCCTCCCCACCTCCTTTGCTCTTAAAACCAGACTCTCCTGCCCCACTTCACTTGATGCATGACACAAACTGAGTATTCTGTAATGCAGGGCCCTTCCAGACAGGCCCTATATTCCAGAATCTGATCCCAGGTTTACTGCATTAAACTGGATTATATGAGTGCCCACTGCCAGATAATCTGGGATAAACAGAAAACCTGGGATCAGATCCTGGGATATAGGGTGTCTGGAAGGGCTCCGAGACTCTATTCCAAAATCAAAAGTTGTCCACATGGGTGTCTGAGATAGTGACACCTTTGCTTTCAATGATTACAAGCTTGGTCTCATGCACAAAGTTATTAAAACATTGTGTATAAAATTACCTTCAAGCTATGTGTATAAGGCGCACAAGAAACATTAATTAATTTCATGTTCAGACTTGGGTCTTATTTCCATGATATCTCATGATGTACAAACATGCAAGCAGAGGTGTTCCAGAATTCAAAACACTTCTGGTCCCAAGCACTGCAGGTAAGGGATACTCAATGTGTATTAACAGATTGGCAGAAACTATCATGCTACTAATCTTACAGGTTTTTAAAAATGCACCACTGAGTTTATATTTTAAAAAATAAGACATCTGCCTGTGATTTGATGCTGATTTCAGAATGAGACAAACTGGTTGCACGTACTATCCTTAAAACTCATTTCACACCAAGGGAACATACACTGACCACTTAAGTCAGTTTCAAACCGGTATTGAAGAAATTGGTTTCATTGTGCAGATTAATACAGAGGAAATCCTGAAACTGTTTGAGGCCCGGATGGTAATTACCCAAACCACAGAGCGCTGATGAGCATAACAGGCTTGCTTTTGTGGGCATTCATTGTCTAGCTGCCACAGTTCAGAGCAAGCACTGAACAGTATTAAATAGTCAGTGTAGCTGAGGCCCACATTATATGCAAAACTGAGCAAAGACAGCTGCTTTGAAGAATGTCAGTGTTTTCCTATCAGCCCAGAACTTGCTGGAATGTATTTGTATAGCAATCTACGTCTTCATATCAAAATCGGCTCACAACGGTGTGTTCTATAGAAAAGGATCCTGAAATGTGCAATCTCGATTCAGGTGGTACCCAAAGTAGTTGATGTATCTGGTCCAAAAGCTTACTATAGTCTTTGATTTGGTCCTATTAGCTAAGATACCGGAGTCCCCGGTGGCGCAGTGGGTTAAATCCCTGTGCCGGCAGAACTGAAGACCAACAGGTTGCAGATTCAAATCCAGAAAGAGCGCGGATGAGCTCCCTCTATCAGCTCCAGCTCCTCATGTGGGGACATGAGATAAGCCTCCCACAAGGATGGTAACACATCAAAAAGATCTGGCCGTCCCCTGGGCAACGTCCTTGCAGATGGCCAATTCTCTCACAACAGAAGCGACTTGCAGTTTCTCAAGTCGCTCCTGACACGACCAAAAAAAAAAGAAAAAAAAAGCTAAGATACAAAGAATGTGTTCTGTGGCAATTGTGTAGACAAACCTAAAACCAATTCATACTTTATTTAAAAAGCAAAAGATCTAAAAGTAAAAAAAATGAACAAATCCCAAAGATCGGCCAAATGAAACAGGAGTGTTGAGTGCTATTTTCAGTGCTTTGTACTAGGAGCCCCGGTGGCACAGTGGGTTAAAGCCCTGTGCCGGCAGGACTGAAGACCGACAGGTCACAAGTTCGAATCCGGGGGGAGGCGGATGAGCTCCCTCTATCAGCTCCAGCTCCTCATGCAGGGACATGACAGAAGCCTCCCACAAGGATGATAAAAACATCAGTCATCCGGGCGTCCCCTGAGCAACGTCTTTGCAGACGGCCAATTCTCTCACAACAGGATGCTCCTGACATGACAAACAAAACAAAAAAAGTGCTTTGTACTGTAATTCTTAGAGTTTCGCATGTCTTCTTGTTGAGAAAAATAGAGTGATAACAATATATTTCAGGGTTGTCTTTATGCCTGTGAATGAATTACATAGGCCCCATCTACATTGTCATATTTGAAACTACATTATATATTCAGTGTAGATTCATATCATGCAGTTCAATGCAGTTAAACTGCATTGTATGGCAATATAGATGGGACCATAATGGCCCCACATAGGTTAACCTGCATTTTACTTCCTCGGCTTTAGCAACAGAACCACTGCTATTATTACAGAAGTATTGTAAAGTTATAAAAACACCATCACTGATGTCACATACCTGCTCTATCTGGTTTTTTTTAACAATGGCCTCATATAATATACCTGCTGGAGTTCATAAATGCCGCCAGTATTTATGACCAAGTTATAAAGACATTTGGTCATAAATACCAGCTGGAGGCAGCACTAATTTATCAGTTCCATAACTATTTGTTTGTGGTTTAGGAATACTTAAGAGACTAATTCCTGTTGAGCAATAGCTGATGCTTTCCTCATAGTGATTGCAACACTGCAGATATCTTTGCAGGTATAGTTCTAGGACTTTAATTAGAGGACTCCATGGTTGTTTGTATGGCTTGGGGTGACACATTCTTTCTACAGGGAGTGAATGCATTAGGTCACATTCCACTATAGATGTGAATGATACACATTACACTCCTCCATATATGTGGAAATCTGTGGCCTAAGAGCAAGATTCCTTCCTGGGATAAGGTAGGCTCCTTAAAACTGCTATGGCAGCCAAATTCAAAAAAATTAAAACCAGAAAGGTGTAAGAGGGAAAAACCCGCAACACTGCCTTGACTAGTATAGAACAATCCTTCCAACTCTTATTTAAAAACAAAAACATGTGGGCTGTTTTACTGAGGCATCCTGCAATTCTACTCAGCCAAATCTAATACTTATGTGTAAATATGAATAGGAAGGATAATGATAAAATAAAAGCACTCAATAGCAACAAATGACAGGAAAAGCTACTGTTGTACCACTAGATGCCAATGGAATTTTGAACAGAAAATACTATTAGCTAAAATTCTTCTGCAAAGGATTTCTGCCTTAGCCAAATGTCTGAAAGAACAGAAGGTTGGGGCCCAATAAACTTTCCTATACTGGGAGTTCTGTGACCCTGTCAACAAAGCCCTGCTCCCAGTGGAAGTGTATTTAAGGGTAGATCTACACTGTAGAATGAATGCGGTTTGATACTACTTTGACTGACATGGCTCAATGCTATGGAATCCTTAGTTTTCTGGCTAGGTGAGTGTCATGATCACTCATGCCATGCAACTATCAGCCCTGATATAGAGCACATGGCCATTGGCCAAAAGAGGACAGGATGCTGAACATATGAACTGGTCATAAAAGTCAATTGCCCTGAGGTGAGAGAAGGTGGGCTTTCTGCGAGTGCAGCATTTTTCCGAATGAAGCAGAAAGTGTTTGAGGACCGGGACATCCGTAGGGATACCAAGGTGCTTGTTTATAAAGCTACTGTCCTCCCAACCCTGCTTATACGCCTGCGAGACATGGAATGTCTACAGACATCACATGCAACTCCTAGAACGATTCCATCAGCGCTGCCTCAGGAAAATCCTGCAAATCTCTTGGGAAGACAGGCGGACAAATGTCAGCATGCTGGAAGAAGCAAAGACCATCAGCATTGAAGCAATGGTCTTCCGTCATCAACTCAGCTGGACCGGCCATGTTGTCTGGATGCCCGACCACCGTCTCCCAAAGCAGTTGCTCTACTCCGAACTCAAGAACGGAAAAAGGAATGTTGGTCGGCAGGAAAAGAGATTTAAAGATGGGCTCAAAGCCAACCTTAAAAGCTCTGGCATAGACACAGACAACTGGGAAGCCCTGGCTCTTCAGCACTCCAGCTGGAGGTCAGCTGTGACTAGCAGTGCTGAAGAATTTGAAGAGGCACGAATGGATGGCGAAAGAGAGAAATGTGCCAAGAGGAAGGCACGTCAAGCCAACCCCAACTGAGTCCGCCTTCCACCTGGAAAGCAATGCCCTCACTGTGGGAGAAGATGCAGATCAAGAATAGGGCTCCACATTCACCTATGGACCCACCGCCAGTACACTGATCCTGGAAGACTATCCTACTCGGACAACCATTGATCGCTTAAATAAGTGGTGTGTGGGAAAGGTCAGGCACCAGGGCTTTTGGGTGATTTATGACATTGTACCTAAGGTATAGATGGGCAGTAGTGCTAGGTTCTTGTATTTTGGACAATAAATATGTATGGTATCTTCAGTCCCTGTGTGTCTTGGCGTGTTCTTTCAAGAGAAGACTAAACCCATAGCAACACAGTTGGAGCAAAGAATCCTTACAGTGAGACACCCTCCCTTGTTGGCAGAGAAGGATGAAGACTTTGTAAAACTACAACTCCCACTTGGTAAAAGTAAAGGATTTTGCAGTATTGCTATATAGCTTAGCAGTCAAGACAGCACTATATAAAAGGTCCCTTGCCTATGCGAAAGATGACCACTAGCTATCAACTAGAAAGTGAGATCTAGGTCCTTTCTATAAAATCCATATTATCTGATTTGAATTGAATTATATGGCAGTGTATACTCGTATAAACTAGCTCAAAACAGATAATGTAGATTATCTGCTTTGATAACCTTGATTATAAGGCAGTGTAGAGGGGGCAACAGCCGCAAAGAATGGCTAAAGAAACACTTCCACTTGTATATAATGGAAGAGGTAAGGCTTCGCAACATTTTGTGAAATGCTGTTCTAGGCAATCCCCATTGTTTTGAGAAACAGCAGGTGAAAGCAGCGTGGATGAAATGTTTGGAAGGATGGAAGTGAATCTGATGACCTGGGCACATGAAAGCTGATGCCAAAAAAAAAACCTGTTGGTTTGAAGGTGTCATGAGATTCTGTTGTTTTTTCCAGCAACAGGTACTCCCACTTGGAAATTTCTGCCATCCATGATGGTGACTATTGCATGTGATATTAGGATATCAATGAACTAAATTGGGATTAATATACTTAAATAAAAAGTATGGAGTGGACACCTAAAAAAGCAGGAATCTTTTGGTTACAGAAACAGAAAATTCACCTATATTCTAATCATCACCACAATCACATCAGTCATCACCAACATTAGGAATCCTTTAATTTGGATTTTAAAGGATTTCCATGTCTCCAGTTTCAACTAAAGGTTGGTCATGCCTTATCTGGAATTTCAAAATCCAAACCCACCCATGCAGGTGGCCAAGATAGTGACACGTTCGTTTTCTGAGGGTTCAGTGTACACAAACTTTGTTGCATGCACAAAATAAGAACATAAATGGTAATATAAACATCATACAGGACGTCAAGATTAAAGTTGCCAAACAATTAGAACACAAGATGTGAGAAAAAGAGCAAATTTTGGATTATAGTAAGGACAAAGCAAGGGAGATGATTCTGGCCACATAGCCCAGAATATCAAGGCAGATAATCCACAATAGCTGCTTTGAACTGGGTTATCTAAGTTTACACTGCCATATAATCCAGTTCAAAGCCAATAATGTGGGATTTTATACAGCTCAGGCCCCATCTACACTGCCATATAAAATCCAGATTATCTGTTTGTACTAGATTATATGACAGTGTAGACTCAGATAATCCAGTTCAAAGCAGATAATGTGGATTATCTGCTTTGATCATCTGGATTATATGGCTGTGTAGAAGGGGACACCATGAGATCTACACATTGAAATTCAACACCTCTGGGAAAACAAAACCAAACTGTCTCCAGTATCAATAAATTCCAAATGAATTTACAAAACATCTGGAAGAAAAGGATAGGAACACAACAGTACAATTAAAAAAATTGATTCTACTTGGAATTTTCCATAACATTATCTGTTGATAATTACTTCAATAGGCTACAATCTGAATTATGGATAATCCAAAAGTTGGTAATACCATGTAGACTATGAAAATGTTGATGGTAATGACAACAATAATATTAATTAATATAATATCATAATAACCATCACAGTCTATCCGATGTTATCTATTGGAGTTTTGGATCAGCCATTATTTGCTATCTTTCACCCTCTCCTGGGCTTCATACTCACCAAGTGTCCTGCAAATATCTCCAACAACTTTGAATACGACTGAAGAGAAGCTGACGCTCAACCGCACAGTTTTCATGCTTGGCAAACGGAGACGCAGCATTTTGTGTTGAACAGTAAACAGCAGCTTGGCATCGGCTTGCACCCCATATTTGTCCAGTGACCAATGAGTCTTTAGAAGCCAACATTGCTTTTGTTCCCACCAAAGGGCATAGTCGGACCAGTCTTGTGAGACACCTCAAAAAATAACAACAAAGCAAAGAGGAAATGAGTTACATTGCAGCAAACACAAACAAATCCTTATTTTATAGTTAACAATGAACTGAGACCCTGGCTCTATTTTTCATTTTTCATATCAAAAGAAGACACAAAAGAAGTCAGGTTCTGATGGCCAGGTTTTCTGAAGCTCTCCTAGAAATGGGTAGAGAAAACATAAAAGGATAATGCCATGACAGCAGGATTTGAAGGAGAGGTCCAGGGTATAATGTTTAGGTGGATTTGGAGGCTTATTCAACAGGTTTGCCTCCACCCATTTTGAAGCAAATGAAGTAAAGCACATTGCCACGTTATTCTCCGTCCATGTCATATCTTGAAGTCTAGAATCTAAAATTACCCAAACCCAAGCACTGATCATAAATCAATGTACAGCGAAGAAGAAACCACTGCTCACTTTCTGCTTCTCTTCATTCTCTCCTTTAAGGAATAATTATTTCTGCTCTGTACCATTTCAGTCTCTATGAGCCACTAATTCACAGATATGGCGAGCAAAGATCCATAAGAGAGAATGGTTTCTGATTATCCCAGGAATGAAACATAGCAAAGACCTTTTAAGGTCACAACTTTTTTGAGGATTCTCAGAGATTTTGGAGGAAGAGGTGGCTCTGGCTCTGGGACCTCCTATGGTTCTGGGACCTACACTCAGCACTATAGGATTGTAGCCTAGTTATAGATAAAAAGAAATTCTTCTATTTATTAAAGTCAATTTATGGTATATTTCCAGCTTCAATAATAATAATAATAATAATAATAATAATAACAACAACAACAACAACAATAATAATAATAGTAATAATAATAATAATATAGTCTCTGCAAGGAAGCAGATGAAACAATAGATCACATCCTCAGCTGCTGCAAGAAGATCGCACAGACAGACTACAAGCAGAGGCACAACACCCTTCCTCAGACAATTCATTGGAACCTGTGCCACAAATACCATCTGCCTGCGACAAAGAACTAGTGGGATCACAAGCTGGAAAAAGTTACAGAAAATGAACATGTCAAACTCCTCAGGGACTTCCGAATTCAGATAGACAGAGTTCTGGAGCACAATACTCCTGACCTCACAATCGTGTTAAAAACAAAGTATGGATTGTCGATGTTGCAATCCCAGGTGACAGCAGGATTGAAGAGAAACAACTGGAAAAGCTGACACAATATGAGGGTCTAAAGATCGAACTGCAAAGACTCTGGCACAAGCCAGTAAAGGTGGTCCCAGTGGTGATCGGCACAATGGGTGCAATGCCTAAAGACCTTGGCCTGCACTTAAACACAATTGGTGCTGACAAAATTACCATCTGTCATCTGCAAAAGGCCAACCTACTGGGATCTGAACGCATTATTCGCTGAAACATCAAACAGTCCTAGATACTTGGGAAGTGTCTGACATGTGATTCAATGGAACAGCCAGCATAGTGACTTTGTTGCTGTGTACCAATCTTGTTGTGTTTCAAATAATAATAATAATAATAATTCTTACCCACCCCTCCTCATGGCTTGAGGTGGGTTACAACACTGCTAACTGGTTATTACCATCTGAATTAAAATGTGGTTGCTTTCATAGGAGCATAGAAGAATAGAATAATTAGTCCAACCTCCTTCCATGTAGGAAAAGCACAATCAAAGTACTCATGACAGATTATTTTGAAATGCTCTTTCTGGTCAAAACCCCCACCATGGAAAAGCAGAAATACCTTTGTACTCACTGATTTGTTCCACAAGTTTGAGCATCACTCCTCCAATATGCAGATCCCCTGACACTTGGAGGGTGCTCTGTTCTGGTTCTTCATAAGGGTGATCAACGGTGACAATGAGTTCCCAGGAGCTGGAGCCATATTCATTTGAAGAAATCATGATGCTATTGGGAATTCCACAGACTGAAGGTTGGAAGGACACTCAACATCTGTTTCAAAGGAATTAATTTTTATCTCAACAAGCACATCTTTGCCCAAGTAAAGACAGAAATTAGATTCTGCTCTATGCATCAACTTCTGCAGTTTGCTGTAACCTCCTGAAATGACTTGACTAAGATATTTCGCTGTCAGAATGAGAGCAATAAATGCACAATTTCCCATCCAGGTGCATTGTATCCAAGCCAAGAAAAATACTTTGGTATCAGAGCCAGAAAATCCTTCAAGCACTTTCCCTAGAACCACAGTATTATAGAATGAAAGCACTGGAAGGGGCCGTGTTAAGCCATCGGGCCTAGTCTTCTGCTCAGAGAAAAAAAAATGATAGCAACAGCAACAAATGTGTGCTTCCCTTTCATGATGCTGAGGATGCATAATTTGAGGAGGCCACTCCAGACTTTCTAAAATAGTGTTCCCCAAACTTTGGCTCTTTAGAAGTTTTGGATTTACAGAATCTTGATTATTGGTGAAAGAGCTGGGGTTCATCCCCCCTGCAGAATTAATGCAGTTCGACACCACTTTAATTGCCATGGTTCAAAGCTGAGGAATCCTTGGATCTGTAGTTTGGTAAGGCACCAGCAGTCCTTGGCAGAGAAGGCTATAACTCATAATATTCTATAGCACTGACCTACGGCAGTTAAAGTGATGCATGAATTATAGGGTGTAGATCAGGTATCCTCAAACTATAGCCCTCCAGCTGTTTGGGTATCCAAATGCCAGAATACCTGAACATTGAACAAGCTGGCTAGGACTTCTGGGAGTTGGAGGCCCAAACAGCTGGAGGGCCACAGTTGGAGTATGTCTGGTATAGCTGTATGAGGGTTATCCTGAAAGTAAGGTTACAAGGCACATAGCTCTCATGGGGAATTTTCTCAGGGGAAGTTGGTATCACTACTGTCTTGTGGGAAGCCAGCGGAAGCGAACGAGCAGTGCCAGTCACCAGTAGCTCATCGACTGGTATTGTGGTCAAGGTTAGAGATGAGCGTCCTCATTCCATTTCCCTCCAAGTGCAAAGTTCGTGTTGTAATACACTACCTAAATGCTACGGGCATGAACGCCACTGCGATTCATCATGAAATCGTTTCAGTTTATGGAGAGGACATAATATCAAGACAGCATGTGACAAAATGGGTATGGAATATATTGTGAGACCATGAAGAAACTTCGCAGAGCCATCCAAAACAAACGTCGTGGGATGCTGATGGCAGGAGTCTGTCTCCTTCATGACAATGCGCATCCGCACACTGCTCACACAACACAAGAGTTGTTGACATCATTTGGTTGGGAAGTTTTAAGCCACCCCTCTCACAGCCCCGATCTTGCACCCAGTGACTATCATCTGTTCACTAAATTGAAGGAACACCTGGGTGGAAAACACTTTTTTGACAACAGCGAGGTGACAAACTGGCTGAAAAAAGTGGAAGGACACAGGCATCAAAAATTCATCCCACAGATGACAAAATGTATTGAACTGAGTGGTGATTATGTGGAAAAAATGTAATACCTATGCTACAATCCATGTAAGTTTTATTAAAATATATTCATTCTTTGTATTTTAAAAAAATATTGTAACCTTACTTTCCGAATAACCCTTGTACTATAACATATTGGAAGCCAAGGCTCACAACCACTAGTTTAAAATATGGGATGGCTCTATACCTGGATTTTACATGTGTCACACTTCTACTTTAAGATGGGTTTATAAACTCATCTTAAATGGTGACTACTAGCTTGACATGTTTACAAGAAATGTTTTACTTTACACAATGATGAAAACTGTCATAACACCACTGAAGTTGAAGGTTCCTCTTCAGTCTAGAAGAGACACTATACAGTCAGTATCTCTGGAGACCTATACTGTTGTCACTATCTCTTTGACTCTGGGCTTTCTTACTAATAGGTCCTGCCAAACACTGAGAGTTCCTTAAGTTTGTCACATCCAATGTAACTATATTCTTTTTAGTGTTATTTTGACATCCAGTGGCAATCTAGGTCTAAAAGTTTTGAAAAAAAATTAAGTTATCCAAGATGCTGAACCCCAATCTAAAATTAGTTCAACTACTTGGAAAACTCTAAGGTTTGGAGTCCTTGAAGCCAGGGATTCCCCAAAAGCTGGTCCTCCAGATGTTTGGGACTTAAACTTCCAGCATCCAAAGCCATTTTAGTCAATAGCCAGACATTCTGGGACTGGTGGTCCAAAACACCCGAAGGACCAGAGTTTTGGGAATCACTGCTTTAAGCAGATTGACTATCCCACTGACATATGAACCATCTTGCCACCAATGTTGGATCCCAGTTTGAACAGAGATAACAGAAAAGAGCCATTTTATCTAATGTCTTGTTTCTAAGGACCTTCTACACTGGCATATATTCCAGTTCAAAGTGGATAATCTGGATTTTATATGGCAGTGTAGAAGGAGCCTAAAGTTTGGTTTCTAGTATGAAAGTTTTTGTGCCACAATTATTTTTAGTACATCCTTAACAACTATACAATTTTGATGAGGAAAAGCTCATGTGGAAGGGCTCCATCTAGGGGCCTTCCACACAGTCATATACCCCAGAATATCAAGGTAGATAATCCACAATATCTGCTTTGAACTGGTTTATCTGAGTCCACACTGACATATAATCTAGTTCAATGTGGATTTTATACAGCTGTGTGGAAGGGGCCTTACGGTGCCATATAAAATCCAGATTATCTGTTTTGAACAGGATTATATGGCAATGTAGACCAATATAATCCAGTTCAAAGCAGATAATGTGGATTTTATATGGCAGTGTAGAGGGCCCAATGAAAAAACTATAATCACAATTTTCTTATCCTTAATGTTGAAGCTATAAATCAGCCCCCAGTAGTGTAATGGGTTAAACCCTTGTGTGGGCAGGACTTGCTGATTGACAGATCAGCGGTTCAAATTTGGGGTCAGTGGGTTGAGCTCCCTCTTTCAGCTTCAGCTCCTCATGCATGGATATGAGAGAAGCCTCCCACAAGGATGTTAAACATCAAACATCCGGTGTCTCCTGGGCAACGTCCTTGCAGATGGTCAGTTCTCACATGAGAAGCGACTTAAAGTCGCTCCTGACACTAATAATAATAATAATAATAATGGTCAGGGGCAAAGGATTCATGCCTAATTGGCAAATCCCAGCTCCATTTAACCTACAGAGGCAAGAGTTTTAATTCAATAGCATCTGCTGGGGTACAGAGTCTTTCCACTCTGGCCCCATCTGGATTTTGGAATAATTTGGAATTTAACTAGATTAAAGATGCTAACCTGTAATAGGACCGACCTATTCAAATCTGAAATGTGTGAAAAAAATATTTTTTCCAGAACTCCATGGAACACCAACCCCAAAAAGAAAGGAATTCTTGACAATTCACAAACCAAAGGTAATGTTTCCAAACTCTTGAGTTTTTGAGTGCCCAGCTTTTCTCTCCATGTAAACAACAATGAGGACTGTGAAGATGATTTATTCAAGCAGCCAGGATGATATCACTCTGATTGTTTTGGTCTGTTTTAATGTGTTTTTGAACTGGAAAGCATTTCCAGAAAACACTTTCGCTGTCTCCAGAACTGATAAACTGATAAACAACGGTGGAGGAAATGCATGTTTACATGAGCAGTTGGCGTGCCTTATCAAACATCAAATTCAAGCAGAGAAATCTTGGGATATTTCATAACGATTCACAGATTTCTGATGAATCTGTGCTGGGTTTTGTTCCAACAGGTAAACCCAGCTGCAATGCATTGCAATAAACCCATCCAAGAAAAACAACAGGGAGTTCTATAGGATCTTGAATAATTATAGTCTCACTACTACATAATATTCCATAGACTGTACTTCCTTTTGTTGAAAACCAATGTGCTGTTTTGTTTCTCTATAGCCCCATCTACACCAACATATAAAATCCATATTATCTATTTTGAATTGGATTATATGGCAATGTAGACTCTAGCCTGACACCGCTTCTATAGTGCCATATAAAATTCAGGTCATCTGCTTTGAAATGGATTCAGTGGTTCTCAACCTGGGGTCCCCAGATGTTTTTGGCCTACAACTCCCAGAAATCCCAGCCAGTTTACCAGGTGTTAGGATTTCTGGGACTTGAAGGCCAAAAACATCTGGGGACCCCAGGTTGAGAACCACTGAATTATATGGCAGTATAGACATATAATCCAATTCAACACTGATAATGTGGATTGTCTAATTTGGTGATCTGGATTATATGGCAGTGTAGATTCAGGGCCCCTCCACACAGCCTTATATCCCAGAATATCAAGGCAGAAAATCTCACAATATCTGCTATGAACTGGTTTATCTGAGTCCACACTTCATATAGACAAGTGGTGTGTGTGTGTGTGTGTGTGTGTGTGTATATATATATATATATCTATATCTTTTCTGCTTGAGGCAAGTGTGAAAGTTGCAACTGGTCACTTTGATTAGGATTAAATGGCCTTGCAGCTTCAAATACTGGCTGCTTCCTGCCTGGGATAATCCTTTGTAGGGAGGTGTTATCAGGGTAGGAAGAAAGAACTCTTGTCTACTTGTGGCAAATGTGAAGGTTGCAATTGGCCACCTTAATTAGCATTGAATGGTCTTGCAGCTTCAAAGCTTGGCTGCTTCCTGCCTGGCGGAACCCTTTGTTGGGAGGTGTTATCAGGGTGAGAAGAAAAAACTCTTGTCTGCTTGAGGCAAGTGTGAATGTTGCAACTGGCCACCTTGATTAGCGATGAATGGAGTTGCAGCTTCAAAGCCTGGCTGCTTCCTGCCTGGGGGAATCCTTTTTTGTGAGGTGTTATCAGAGTGGGAAGAAAGAGCTCTTGTCTGCTTGAGGCAAGGGTGAATGTTACAACTGGCCACCTTGATTAGCATTGAATGGCCTTGCAACTTCAATGCCTGGCTGCTTCCTGCCTGGGGGAATCCTTTTTTGGGAGGTGTTATCAGGGTGGGAAGAAAGAACTCTTGCCTGCTTGGGGTAAGTGTGAAGGTTGCAACTGGCAACCTTGATTAGCATTGAATGGCCTTGCAACTTCAAAGCCTGGTTGCCTCCTGCTTGGGGGAATCCTTTGTTGGGAGGTATTATCAGGTGTTAGAAAAGCTATTCTTATTCTTAGAGTCACCATCAATGGGCTATGACTTGAAGGCACACAACAACAACAACAACAACAACAAAATACTTCATCATCTACCCATTTTTTCTCTCCATAGTATTCCCCCTCATTCTCTGCAGAGGCCCTTGCAACAACTCTTTTGCCTTTACAGAGTTTCTGGGGCAGAGCTTTCTTCTGGATTGGAAGAAAGAAGCAAACTGAGGAGCCTTTTGGGGACTACAGCTCCCACAACCCCCCAGCTGAGGTGCTGGAAGTGGCTGTCCAGAACCATGCAACCTCTCCCAGCCGTTCCCCTACCTGAGAAAGCCTGATCCAAGACCCATTTGCTTCTCCCATGCCGGGCGTGCCAACTCCTCTCCCGTTCTCCCTATAGCTTCCGGCTGCTGCTTGTTTCCAGCCCCACCTTCTTGCAGGTGACGCCCCTCATTCCCCGCTGTCTGAGACGTCCCCCAGCAGGCGAGGCAAGCACATTGACTCCTGCTCGTCTGGCACTGGGAGGGAAGGAGATCTGGACTGGGAAAGGAGCTTTGGGGAGTGCAGCTTCCAGTTGCCTCTTGTGTTGATTCTCTTTCTAGAAGGCCTCTGTAGATTCAGCAGAATCACACATTCCATCAAGAGCTGAGTCCAGGTTGGTTCATCAGGTGCTCTGCTATGGCTGACTTCTCTGGTTGACTTAGTCTGCAGTGCCTTTCATGGTCCATGAAAATGAACAAAATCTGGCTACCAGTATTTTTAAAAAACTTTAAAATCAGTATAGGAAATAAAGAACAACACTCAAGAAATAGGGGCATTTCACACAGGAATCAATCAGGGCCAGCTAACATCTGCACCGGGACTGTGGCGCAGCTGGCTGAGTGTCAGTTGCATTAAAGATCACTACTGACCAAAAGGTCATGCGTTCGAAGCCAGCCCAGGTCGGAGTGAGCATCCGGCCAATTGTATAGCTTGTTGTCAACCTTTGCAACCTGAAAGACAGTTGCATCTGTCAAGTAGGAAATTTAGGTACCACCTATGTGTGGGGAGGCTAATTTAACAAAATTTACGAGGCCATAAAAAATCTCCAGCAAAAGCATGCGGGGAATGCGGAAAGCAGGCATGTAGCCGGGGGGGGGGGGGGGGGGGGGGGGGGGGGGGGGGGGGCTTCAGCCCCCCCCCCGAAATTCTCATGATGGTTCGCGAAAAGGCCTTACTGGTGCATTATTTAAACTGTTATGTTTATTCATATCATGATCTGATCACCATACTCAATATATCCCATATTTATTTATTTATTTATTTGCTGCACTTGTAGACCGCCGTTCTCAGCCCTAGGGCGACTCACGGCGGTGTACAACATATAAAACAGGTACAATTTGCAACATAAGCAATATCACAAACAACAATAAACAACATCACTATCAATAATACCATTACACTAAATCATTCGCGACGTCTCATCATTGAATCACAATCCAAATCTCGTTATCCATGTTCCGTTCCAATCGTCATTGCCAATTGTTGTAGCACTTAGTCAAACGCCTTCTCAAACAACCACGTCTTTAGTCTCTTGTGGAATGTCATAAGGGAGGGCGCCTGTCTGATGTCCACAGGGAGGGTGTTCCACAGCCGGGGGGCCACCACCGAGAAGGCCCTATCCCTCGTCCCCGCCAGGCGTGCCTGTGAGGCAGGCGGGATCGAGAGAAGGGCCTCCCCAGACGATCTCAAAGTCCTCGTGGGCTCATAGGCCGAGATGCGGTCAGACAGGTATTTTGGGCCGGAACCGTTTAGGGCTTTGTAGGCCAACACCAGCACCTTAAATTGGGCCCGGTAGCAGATCGGCAGCCAGTGGAGCTGGAACAACAAGGGCGTTGTATGCTCCCTGCGTCCCGCTCCTGTTAGTAACATGGCTGCCGCGCGCTGGACTAGCTGGAGCTTCCGGGCCGTCTTCAAGGGCAGCCCCACGTAGAGAGCGTTGCAGTAGTCAAGGCGGGATGTGACCAGAGCGTGTACTACCGTGGCCAAGTCAGACTTCCCAAGGTACGGGCGCAGCTGGCGCACGAGCCTGAGCTGTGCAAATGCTCCCCTGGTCACCGCTGAAACCTGGGGATCCAGGCTCAACGATGAATCCAGGATCACACCCAAGCTGCGAACCTGCGCCTTCAAGGGGAGTGCGACCCCATCCAGCACAGGCTGTAACCCTATATCCTGTTCGGCCTTGCGACTGACCAGGAGTACCTCTGTCTTGTCTGGATTCAATTTCAATTTGTTTGCCCTCATCCAGACCGTTACAGCGGCCAGGCACCGGTTCAGGACCTCGACAGCCTCCTTAGTAGCAGGTGGAAAGGAGTGACAGAGTTGGGGTTGTCCCAATATGTAGAGAAAAGTGTGTGCACAGATGTTCCCCCCCCCGAACAGCCCCCCTGAAAAAAACTCAGCCCCCCCCCCCCCGAATCAAAATCCTGGCTATGGGCCTGGCAGAAAGTACTTCATCAGTGTCGCAGATGGACGGTGAAGCGACAGCTCCCCTGGTGGCCAGAAAATTGGAATGTTAAATAGCCTCTGACTGTCTGTCTATATGTGTTGTGTGTCTATGGCATTGAATGTTTGCCATGTATGTTACATTGTAATCCGCCCTGAGTCCCCCACGGGGTGAGAAGGGTGGAATATAAATACTGTTAACAAATAAATAAATAAAATCTCTCAACAAAGGATCCTCCCAGACAGGAAGCAGCCATGCTTTGAAGCTGCAAGGCAATTCAGTACTAATCAATTGCAACATTTATACTTGCCTCCAACAGGCAAGAGTTCTTTCTCCCACCCTGGACATCCCAGATATATAAACCCATTTTTTCTAGTTTCCAACAGACCTCACAATCTCTGAGGATGCCTGCCATAAATGCAGGTGAAACATCAGGAGAGAATGCTTCTGGAACATGACCATACAGACAAGAAAACTCACAGCAACCCAACTTTCCCCATGTTTTTATGACAGAACCAATTTGGAAATGACAGTTATAAACCAGAAACAAAAATGAAAGCCCAGGGTTATCTGCTTTGATAATCTGGATAATATGGCAGTGTAGAAGGGGCCCCAGTAAATGGAGGAGAAGAAGCAAAGACCACCAGCATTAAAGCGACGGTCCTCCGCCATCAACTCCGCTGGACCGGCCGTGTTGTCCGGATGCCCGACCACCGTCTCCAAAAGTAGTTACTCTATTCCGAACTCAAGAACAGAAAACAGAATGTTGGAGGACAGGAAAAGAGATTTAAAGATGGGCTCAAAGCCAGCCTTAAAAACTCTGGCATAGACACTGAGAACTGGAAAGCCCTCGCCCTTGAGCACTCCAGCTGGAGGTCAGCTGTGACCAGCAGTGCTGTAGAATTTGAAGAGGCAGGAATGGAGGGCGAAAGAGAGAAATGTGCCAAGAGGAAGGTGCGTCAAACCAACCCCGACCGGGACTGCCTTTCACCTGGAAACCGATGCCCTCACTATGGGAGAAGATGCAGATCAAGAATAGGGCTTCACAGACACCTACGAACCCACCTGTACACTGGTCTTGGAAGACTATCCTACTCGGACAACGAGGGATTGCCTAAGTAAGTAAGTAAATGGAGAAGAAAGGAAATATGCAGGAAGTGACCTGTCTCTGTTTGATTATCTCTCAAACAACACCACTACAAAAGGGCGAGGTTTGTTATGAGAGCACCAAACCTAGGATGGGCAGTTGCCTGTGTTTACACAGCATGGAAATCCATGGAGCAGAGCTCTTTTCATTGTTCCTGGCACAAGGCAGAGCAATCGAGTGGGGGATTTCCTTCGCATGTGTTTTGTGCATTTCAAGTGGCCATACATTGGGTGCATCAACACTGCAGAATTAATGCTGTGCTCTAACTGCCCTGTCTCAATGTTGTAGTATCCTGGGAGTTGTCATTCGATGAGGCACCGGCACTCTTTGGCAAAGGGAGACCTTGCAGATTTATAACTCAAGGATAGCATTGTTTTTCCATCCTTGTTCCAAACCTCCAGCCCACAAGGCTCATGTAATGCTACCATTTCAGTGTTGACCATATGCTTTACACACAGGTTTCTTCATGTCCGAACTTGACAAGCACTGACAGAAAGTCATGCAAACCCCGTTGCCTCTCCTATGAGTAATCATGACATGTACAGTACATGGCCCAGCAGAATTCTTCCTCTGATTCAAAAAGGTCAGTCATATAAGGAAACTTAACACATCAGCACTGAGTCTCCATCCTACTAGACCTGTTAGTGAGTAACATCTTTGTCACTATCTTTATTAGAGAACATAACCTTTTAGAGAAGAGCCAAAAAAGCCCTTTAGAGCAGAATCTCCTCTTGTAGTATACAATCAAATATGATTATGCTAGACAATGGTTTCAGTTGTTAGACTAAATAACCTGCCATCTCCAATCTATCACGAAAACAGAGATTTGCCACTGCATAAAAACAACAGAGCTTTACAAGTGTTTTCTTTTTTCAGTGCTCAAAAAATACTCACCCATAAAACAACTTGTTTCATATCATGCACTCAAGAGACAAAAATGAAATAGACTTTGATGTAAATAACGTATTTGGTTTACTCACAACTTTCATGTGTTCAGCATACACAGGTTAAAAAAACTTATTAGTCCAGTTTCAAATATCTTTGAGACGGTTCCTTGTGCCATCTGGCCAGGACATCTCTCTTGTAACAAAACAGCTATCAACAGGTCACATAGTCAAGAGAGAGAGAGAGAAGATGTGGTCTGCAGCCCCTTTTATAACTTCTCAGAAACCATAGAGTAAAGGAAGCTGCACACCTGAACATACAGGAAACAGAAAGCAACAAGATCATAGACAAACAGATTGCTAGAGAAGGCTGCCATTTCCAACAATCTGGAGAATATGAATTCTCAAATATGGGTCTCAGATCTCTTCTACATTGTCACATAATCCAGATTATCAAAGCAGATCTTCATTCTCTTTTTCTTCAGTGTTTGTCCCGCTTGATGGTGGGGTCCGCTTTACTGGTTTGTTGGCACCATTTCACCCAGTCATGTGCCTGATCAGAGTGTGGTAGCAGACTTCAGATCGTTGTGCAATGTGTCCAGCCAGCATTGTTTTGATCGTCCCTTTGGTCTCTTGCCATGCACTTCTAAATCAAGAGTGATCTTGAGAATGGATTGGTCTTCACCTCAGAGAGTATGACCTTAACATTTGAGGCATGATTCTTGTAGTTTGTCAGCAATTAGAGTAATGCCAAAGCATTGCCGGATGTCATCGTTGCAGATGTGGTCAAGCCGTGTGATGGCAGCTGTAAATCGTAGCATCCTCATCTCCATAACACCAAGGCAGCGTTCTTCCTTTGTTGCTGGCCAACCTTCGACTCCATATGTTGTGGCAGGCCTTATG